TAATAAAATTCCAACAATATACTTTGGAATTATTGTTTTTCCCTAATAACCTAATAGACCTATTGACTGATGACATCACATTTCAATAAACAAACTTCGCGCTATGAAATATGGGATTGAATTGGGGTCAAGGTATTACAAAATGGCCGAACGAATACTGATAGAAACCCCACTTCATTCCCAGCATGCACCGCTGGCTAAATACGTGACGTCATCAAGCTACACGGTTATTGCTTAATAATTAGCGCTTGTTCATCCACTAGTGCTTAGCATGTTATCTTTTATCTATTGTTATTGTTGTCTATTTATGACTAATCTTAGGGAGTTATAGATGTCAGTTTTTACTGTATATATACTTGCTGTTCTATTTTCTAATATTATTATTTTGTGCTTGATAAAGATTCCTGTATGTGAATTGAAAAGTTGCTGAAATTAAAGAAAGGAGTAGTATATCCATAATAGTCTTCTTATCTATTTAATAATATACTTACCTAGAAAGTTTATCTAGTTCTCTAGATGTTAAAGGATTATCATGTTTAACTAATAGATTAGCTAACATCTTACGTCTAGTATCAACATTAGGCATAGCTACATATACTCTTTTTGCAAATCGTCTAAAATATACAACATTTTTTATCAGCAATAGATAATAAAACCAAAGCAATATTCTTAACTGTTCATAATAATTAAAATCAATAACCAAATGCAAAGAAGAAAAAAACTTAAATGAATTGAATGGAGTTTTACTCTCCTACTTTTCTGCACCTAATGGGCTTAGGAAGATAGGCAACCCCATTCAGTGTGCAATGAGGGAAATTTTTCCAGGACAGCCACATCAGCCTACTTTTTTTTATTTCCAACTGTCGAAGGATCTTTAACTATCATAGTCTATAGCACAAGAGGCCTTACTTTAATGTCCCAAGGGCTAGATGATTTTTCCACCTAAAGAAGAGCGCCAATACCAATTTCAATGACTTAAATCTTTAAACATTGGCAAGCATACAGGTGTAATCTACCGATGTTGTCGCGTTTCTACCGCTTTTGAATGTTGTCCACTGCTCTACCGATGGAGTGCCCAATTCTACCAATTTTTTGCTTTTTTCTCAACCAAATTTCCTTGGCACCTACCAAGACCTGCCATTTTCTTTACCATAAATCAACAAAATTGCTAGTGGGCCTAACTGAGCTTTTTGGCCACATTTTATCTGAGTATATAAGAATAAGAAAGGGTAAAAATCAAAATGTCCTCTCACCTCAAGACAGCATCATCTAATTCCTGAGGTCTATTTGTTGCTCCCATAACTAATATTTTATCTTCTGCTTCACTATTTACCTGTAGACAATACATAATAATTTATCGTCAAGCAATACCATTTTGTTTTCAAGCATAAACAAGTCCAGTCTATTTCATTTTAGGTTTGAATTTATGGTGATTCAAATCAATTTATGTTTTGTCTCTGCCTAGACCGTTTTTCTATGACAGCCCCTGTGCCCTGTATTACCGGCCAAACCTTTGATTGGATCCTAAATTTCTTACCCCATCAAATTGCACTAAAAATTCAGTTTTTAATCTTCGACTAGCATCATTTTCCCCTTCTCTTCTTTCACAAAGTAACGAGTCGATTTCATCTAAAATCAAAATTAGAAAATATAATATATCAAATCACCATCATGATTTTTTTTAAAATTTATATGAAGCGTGTGGTCTTTAAAATGATAGCAAATTTTATGATAAAAAAGTTCATATTTCTTGCAATGATATCATGTGATTTCCTAATAAGTATTTTTTTATGTTTATTTGCAATATGATGCAATGTAACACATTTAGTCAATATAAACATGAATATTTTTGGATAATGTAATCTTTAGGATAAGTATAAATATATTTGCTTAAGTCTTTAAGTGCTTACCCATAAATATAACAGCTGGTTGAAGTTCTCTAGCAGCAGAGAATAAAGCACGAACTAACTTCTCACCTTCACCCACCTGTTAAGCAGGAGAAACATTGTTAGTCATAATAAATTAAGCCCCAAAAAAGCAAAGCTAGATTTCAATTTTTTGCAACAAAATGATCATGAGATTTTATTTTCATTTGCAAAATAACCAAGGAGAATAACAAACATTTAACGGGAGAATAACAAATGCCTACATGAGAATAACAAATGTCTGGTGGCCGGAATCAATGACCAGTGTGAAAATAATAAATTTAGTCGGTGTTGAGAATGAAAATTGTCAACAGTATGAGAATACAAATGTCCACAAAATACTTATTAATTTTCAATTACTTACCCATTTAGAAGTTAAACTTGAAGCACTTATATTAAAAAATACAGCATTGGATTCATTAGCCACAGCTTTAGCCTAGACAAAACAATTCAATCAAAACAATTCAATCAAAACAATTCAATCTAAAAATTTGAATTGATTAATACTCAAAGCATAATTCACCTTACCATTACTGTTAGACAATAACTGTCAAAACATACACGATTTTTGTCTCCTAATGTCGATAGCATATTTTTAGAAATGCTCAATATTTCTGTAGCATTGCTAAGCTTAGATATTTGGATTTTCATCTGTGAAGCATTTAATGGAAAAAATTCAAAAAAAGTTTAACGTTGTTTAGACAATAGTAAAGTTTATAACAGTTACATACCAACATAGTTTTACCATTTCCTGGTGGACCAAATAATAACAAGCCTCTAGCTGGAGCTCTTAAACCAGTAAATAACTAAAATAGTAATAAACACTCTGATTTAAATGTAGATCCAGTTGTTTGTCTCTTTCTATTGAGTAGTTTCTACTTTGCTATTTGTAATTTACGAAAATTATTACAATATTACAATTTGTAAGTCACTAAACTATTCAATAAAATATCCTGTTCTAGAAAAATCTCCCAAATCAGAAATTCATTGTTACAAGGGACAGATAGGCCATTTTTTTGACCAATTATTCTTTTTTATGACTTCACTAGAGGGGAACTGCATAGATATTAATAGTAGCTCCCCCTAGTGATGCCATAAAATGCGTTAGATTTAGTGGAATTGCAACAGCCACAGACATCAGAATGAAAATTGGAATGGTGTAAATTTATGCTATCAGTGTCCCCGATGTACATAAAAAGTTTAGCAAACCGCTTTACAATCCCTTTAAATTAGAAACATACCTCTGGTCTAAGAGCTGGTAATATAACTATTTCTTGTAAAGCTTGTTTAGCTATTTCCTGTCCAGCTGTAATAAACAGAAAATTTATATACCTTCCCTAAACAAAGCCAATGAAAGGCAACACTATGCAGTGTACAATGAGGGAAATTTTACATGGAAAGTGACAACTTATCACTTAATTATGGATATTTTCACTATCTTATTGTTCATTTCATACCTACTACTAAATGATTTGTACACCTAGCCTATTAGAACTGGAGGCAGTGATGATCCCAACCTCTTAGCACTAGGGATACCAATATGGGGCAAACGGACTTAATGGGGGGAGGGGTGGACTTGTGGGTAAAAGCTCAAAAATAGTCATATTAATGGTACTTACCGATATCTTTAAAACTGACAGTTGGTCCCTGATCAACAACTTCATTCAATATAGTATTAACTAATTTTTTATCTATATTCTTTAAACCAGATAGAGATATATTTCTTTTACTCTTTACATTACCTTTCATCTAAATACATAAAAAATATCAATGGAGTTTTACACCTTAGTTTTCATCATTGTATCATCAATTGGTTGGTTGAATTTGAGAGCATGCTGTATCAAAAATGTCTTAAGATCATGATATTTGTGAATAGTAATCCAGTAACGAAAAAATCCATTCATTTCATTTTGAAAGCATGCTTTATCAAAAATGTCTTAAGATCACGATATGTGAATAGTAACCCATAAAAATTTTATGAAATGAAATATCTGATGATACAATAGATTATCAAAAATACTATTAAAATGACATGCAGTTTTACATCTTAATTCAAAGTCAACACATTGCAGTGTGCAATGAGAAAAATCGTGCCAGGACAGCTGTATTGATTGTATTATTTTCAATTTATATTTTCACATCAGTCTCTCTAATATGCGTCTGATACAGGTCAGAGTATTGGCATGGAAAAAAGCGTCCAGTTGGTCAGATGGGACAATAATCTGAGGCCCTGTGTGCTACAGGCTGTACATGTTAAAGATCCCTTGACAGTTCGAAATCAATGAGTAGGCTAATGCAGCTCTCCTGGTAAAATTTCCCTCATTGCACACAGCATTGCCCGTCATCATTAGCACAGTGAGGTGCAGAAGAGTAGGACATAAAACTCCATTCATTTCATGTTTTCATTTCATTTCTAATATGTGTCATTGACATCTGACAAGGGGAAAGCCAGTCCAAAAAAATACTTTTGAGTCCTCTACTTACTTCTGGCTGAGAAAGTTTACGTTGACTATAGGTACTAGTATGTCGTGGGGAAGTACTATTATTACTACTACCAGCAGCACCAAATGAACGATGGTTTTTTGGTAACGTACTACTCTTGTGGACGGCTATGGGACTTTTCACAGCTTTCATAGGTTTACTTGTTACTGAAATGAAGAATGTTTAGGGTTTAGGAATACAAGTTCATTAAAGGGATTGCAATAACCACAGACGTCAGAATGAACACTGAATGGCGCAAATTGAAGCTATCAGTGTCCCCGATACACATAAAAAGTTTAGAAAACCTCTCTACAATCCTTTTAAATTTTGGCATAGGGAGGTGAGTGCAGACACCAGACCAACTTTTGGAAGCACTTGCCAGTTGGTCTCAATTTTTTCATTTTTGAACACATCAGTTTGAAAGATGAAGTCATCACAATTGAAACTGATAAATAAAAATATTCTCTTTACATAAAATGAATAGCTGAATTCATGTTTTCTCAAATTTCGAAGTGATTTATAAGTTATAAAGCTGTTACATTAAAAACTAAAAATATCAGAAAATATCACTTATAACAACAACACAAAACATTAAACCAAAATAATAATAAATTATAAGACATCAAAATGTGCTATCATTTCAGTAAAACACAAAATGCTCTCTTCGTATCTAAAAAAAACCTCAACAATTTAAATTCTAAATGGCTTACATTGAAAGCTTACAGAGAAAATTTTCTGATACCGTATATTTCCGAATATAATGCGCAAGCGTGTATAATGCGCATCCCGTCCTTGCCCAATCAAAAGACAAAATAGCGGATCCTCAACATCAATTGCGGTATTATCGAAGGGAATATAAACTCAAAATTTATTTCACTGTGTATAGTATGCACCCCTTCTGTAAGGGGCCCATTTTGAAGTAAAAAACTGTGCATTATATTCAGAAATATACGGTAATATTGCATCTAGGTAGAATGACCTTCCTAATAAATGTCATTACTTGTCACGCCACAAAATTCAAGAGATGCATGCATACCAAGTTTAGTCAAAATAGGAAAATGTTTGCCTTTTTCCCATCCATAAAAAATATTTTTAAATTCATCATTTTGTTTATGTGCAGTCATCACCCAATAAAATGAGACGAAAATTCTTGTAATTGTTGTCCCTTTATCAATGGAGAAAAATGCCAAATTGATCGGAACAAAATATACGTTTTTACAAGGATAGCAACATAGGTTGACCAAGATCCTTTCTTCCAATTGGTCCTAGGTCAAACCTTTTAGCATTTATTTGGAGTTGATCTTTCCTAGATTATCCATACCCATTGACAGCTAGGTCAACTGGAAAAGTGAGGAAAGATGACTTTTTTAAAATCACCAGATTTTCACACACCAACAAAGATAAGATCCCACGACCATCATTTGTTTGACCTAATCAAACAAAAGACATTATGTAAAGTTTCAATGTTCTAACCAACTGTGATATAGAACCCCTCAACGCCAAACCAAGCAAAAGCGATGTAATAAGAATACCTATATTGCGTTGTCTGATATGTGTATCAGTCGTACTGGAGCAAGGTTGTTGGCCTTGGCCAGTGTCTGTGGTTTCAGCTTCTGCCACCCTATCATTGAATTCTCGTAATTGTTTCTCTGTTAACAAAATAATACAACATATAACACTATATAACAAAGGAAAAGATACAATAATAAAAATACATAATATCATGCACGATATATATCTTAAAGCTATCATGGTCTATAAAAAACAAAATACATTTTTCAAAAAAAAGTATTAGTCCTTTTAAATAGTTAAATTCCAATTTGAATTTCTATTTCCTCTGTTACCTTTAACAGTCTTAAGTTTCTAAACCTAAATCATCGGTTTACTCTGACTTAAATCACCTAGAGATTAGTGTGGTTGAAAAGAAACCAGTTACTATTGACATGCAAAGCAAGAACAAGTCTTGTGTAACATTGTTCCTTGTAGATGATAAGATGAGTTACCCACAGAAGAATTATGAAACGTAACATCCATTCAAATAATCTTTACATTCTAAAAATTTGCATCAATATATTTTTGGTTTAAACTTTCAGATAAGCATACATTTTGATGAAAAAAACCAGACTGCTCCTTTAATTTGTCTGAATAAATAACAGTAAGCTTATTATTCTGAAGGAAAGCAGATCAAAGAAGATAGTATGTAACATAAAAGTGGGAGACTAAGACTACAATATATAATTAATGTAATCTACTAAAACGAACATAAAATCTAACAAACATACCCAAATATTCCAGCCTATCTTTTGCCATGACTAAATTAGTTAACATTTTATCTTTGAGTCTTTTTGCTCTCTCTACAGAATCACCTTAAAAATAAACAAAATAAAAATATTCATTACAATATCAAACTCATTCATTTCAAAAGAAAAAAAAAATTATTTCACATTTTTGTCCCTATAGTTGAAATGATAGTTGTGAGCTTAAAGGGATAGATGCACCATTTTGGGGGACTGATTTGAGTCTTGAAAATATGTAAATAGTCTTCAGAAGTATGAAAATCGTATAATTCCTTCAAAAATCCAAAATATCTCAAATTGTCTTTTCTATGGTATCACAGAGTATGTTAAAATAACGAGTTGTCATTTTAACATTAAAATTCTGGACACGCAAGGATTTGGAGCTCAAATTTCGATTATTACTGATTGACTTAGCTAAAAAAAATTCCGTTTCTGAGACTAAGGTATTATTGGTCAAAAAGAATGGTGCATCTGTCCCTTTAATTTGGACTGTAATACAAAATTGACAATTTTAGGGATTCATGCTTTTGTCATGGCACAAATAGCTGGTAACTTATTTCTGGATTCATAAGTTTTATGACTTCAGATTATGAATAGGCCTATAATATTATCTTTATAAGGTCATTTCATTTACCATTCATTCAATATTTTGCCTAACAGGCATGTATGCTGGTCAGCTTAATCTTTAATCTGTGTAATCTAATCCAGATTATAATTTCATTACAGAAGCAGGGCCTAGGGGCTAAAACTTTGTAGGCATAGGATTATATCTGAATACAAGTAAGATTGCATGTACAAACACACTGTATATCTTATTTAGCACTACTGAAATTAAGTTTATACCAGCCAATTTTTATCAGCAAATAAAACAATATACCTTGACCAGGGACTATAACAGCTATACCCTTCTCTAACTCTATAATACCTCTTTTATAAAACTCAATAGCTGCAGCATGACTCTTTTTACCTGATAGAAAATAACAATAACAAAATATACGTCAATGAAATCAGTTTGAGCTTGAATAACTACCCTGACATATTTGATGAAGATGATAGGATTTGTTAGTTATGTCAAGCTTAGGAAATGCTGACCAAGACAGTGAAAGATTTGAGCATTATTCAAATTTCCAAATAGCCTAGCCAATCTTAGGCTTAGGGTCCCTAATGAGGGCAAATGAATGACTCAGACTGCTAAGATACATTAAAACTCATAAGAGTCTGTGTTTTGTGCTTTATAATTGGTATATACAACTCAACTTAGCTGCTCCCCCCCCCTCCCCTAATATTTTTAAATTGTAATAATATTGAATTGTAGATTTATTTAGCCTACCTGGTGTTTCTTCATCTATTTTCAAAGCTTTAGAAATGTATTCAAAAGCTTTCCGGTGATGATGTTTTTGTAGGGAAAATGCTGGATCACTTGGACCGGGTGAATTTGGCTTTTTGGATTCATTTGTCATGATAACCACACTCTCTTCGTCGTTCCGTCTCTGTTGTGGCCTTAATGAAATAGCTTGACGACTCTTACAAGCAAGCAACACAAGCACAATCCAGAGCTGGTAAGCAAACGTTCGAATTAAGGCGAAAAGAAACAATAATGGGGCTGCCACTAATCTGAGATTACGACCATGAAATGTTCTGTACTCTCTGGGGTTCGGCCTTCCTCTCCCATCACCTCTCTTACGCCCAAAATAACGACCTACCCCAGGCCCTTTTCGATTCATACTGACTGAAGGCCGCCATATTATTCAAGCGATCAATACATTACTTTGCATTCTGGGCAAGGGAATTCCTATAAACGTCATACTTGGGGATTCCTTTACAACGAAGGAATCTGATTGGATGAAATTATTCATGACGTCATAAACTGTTTACAAACAAGTGGGCGTGTTTTACTAGTAGATTTATAACCATGGATGGGTCAACGAAACTGCTGGAAATCAAAGTGATTAATGCTGATTTAAAACGATTAAAAAGTTTGAAATGTTTGTGCAGACGTGCAATTTTGAAGTGTGAAAACAAGGCATCAGTTTTTGAGATGTTGGCTACTGTGGAAAAACTTCCATTACCGAACACCCTGAAGCGTTACTTGACAACTTTAAGCATTCCTGAGGACTTGCACATGGGTGACGTTTTTATGGAGTACAACTTTAACTTCCCGTACCATTTACAACACAAAACTCATCAAGTTTACCCGACTGCATGTCTTCTGGACGGATCTAATTTGCTACTAAAAGTTCACCAACCGTTAGAAACCGGAATAACATGTGCCATGTGTGGCTGTCAAGAGTTGAGACAGTCAGAAATTTCTAAGATGAAAACCAAAATAGAAAAATGGTGCTTGTTAGAACATAAGCATCTTCAAAGTTGTGTTGCAAAGTTTTATGAAGGTGATCGCATCGGATATGTTCTGGAGTTTCCCCTAATGAACCTTATAAACTTCAGTTATTTTCTATATCTAAAAGACACACCCATCCCTGAGTACATGGCGTGGGACATTATTGTAACATTGACAGAAGTGTTTCTATTTTTAGAACGTAAAGGGGTCGCCCCGTGGAACTTTGGGTCACCAGATCACATCATTATAAATGAAAAGGGGGTAATTAAACTAGAAAATATGCTGTTATATTTACCAGAGAATACGCCTGTTTCAGATTTTCCCACATGTGTACAGAATTGCTTTATTGCTCCAGAAATATTATTAGAAAAAGAGGCAGTGCCAGAGACTATTGCATGGAATATTGGAACTATCATCAAAGAACTAATATGGCCCATACCAAGTGTTGTATTAAATGGAAATTTAAAATATAGAGATCTTTTAAAGCCTAAAGAGCAAAGATGTGCCGCAGAATTTTCCACGCTTTTAAAAGGCATTGCACAGGAATGTACCTATATGAATCCAATCTATAGGCCTTGTTTAAAAGTGCTACATTCTATAGCTGAGTATCAAGTCATAAGTTACAATGGACCAAAATTACCAGTTTTGCAATTATTACAATAAGATTTTTTTATGCTACAGGCCAAAGAGAACATCATCTTAAAAGATGATTTTTAAGTTTTAAAATTTCTACTCCTTTTAAAAGATTTATTTTATACATTTGATATATTTTAGGATTTTTTTTAATTTTTTGATAAAATTTTTATACTTTGATCATGGTGTTTAGATATTTTTTTTTCTCATTTTTCAACTGGGCAGGACTGGACCAGTTTCCACCATATTGCAACAAATCTGACCTCGCCATTACTTGGACATGATATACAGATGGGATATCAGCACATTTAGGGCCAGATATAAAATGTCACTTTTTATGGGAGTTTTTCCCACCCTAGGGTCACTATTTTTGAGAATTTTCACCATGTTAAAAGCCTAATTTCAAATAAATTTAGTTATCTATACATTAATTAAGTCCATCTAAAACATTAATGAGTCCATCAAGATATATCCAGATATTGATTTTGCTTTTTAAATGAGACAACAGTTTACAAAGATCAGTGTGCATGATTTGCACCTCTGATTAGGGGCCATTACCTAAATGGTTTCTAACCCTGAATGCAGCTAGGCAAAATTATAGATACATTATAAAGTGGTTTCCAAGACACCAATTAACACCCAATAACAAACTCCATTAAAGATGGGTTCCCTTAAATTTTCATTTATGAAAATGAAAATGCTAATACTTATATGAATAGAAAGTAGAGGTGTTCTAATGACTTGGAAAAATACCAGTTTGTCTCACATGTCCATAATTAATTCATAATTAGCTAAATAAGAAGAGAATTACCAGCAGTATTCTAATGAGTGACCAATCAAGAAAGGTCAAATAGTCTTTTTTTGTTTATCCAGACTGTATATACATGGACATTTATGATTTGTTAAAACTCTTAATTATATGCAATAAGAACAAATTGATATGATTAAGAAAACATGATAATTCATTACAAACACCAATTAATCAAATAGTTTGCTTTAATTGACACTAAAAAATAAGGAAACCCATCTTTAAAGAAAGAGCACCTCTTTTGTTTCCTTTTCCATTAATAGGTATTCTAAGTATGTCAAATTTGTGTAATTCTTGCAATAGAATGGAATTCCAAAAAAAGTATTTGAGCGAAGACAAACCAAAACATCAAACACTAGTTTTAATGATAATCAAGGTGTTACAGTATCTAATGAATCAGAATTAAATAATATATCCATTTCTTCTGTTGGTAAATAAACTCTTATTTCTTTTTCTACCATTAGATCAACCATTTGTTGAAAGACTTCATCTCCAAATAGTTTGATAGCATCCATATACAGTACCTTTAATACAATAATAATCTTTGAGTAAACCAAGATTTACAGGGAAAGTTTCACCATCCTTTTGACCAATCATATTTTAGTCTCAGAAACTGGAATTTTTTAGCTAAGCCAATCAGTAATAATGTTCACAGCTCATCGTCGAAATGTGAGCCTTACAACCCCCCAAGAATGGCAAACCTGTCCCTTTAAAGGGGCATATCCATTGAAATATTTGCTTTCCCAACAAATGGAGCTCAACTTTGACCATCTGTATCACTTTTTAGAGATAATTCTTTTCGTAATTCTGGATAGAAAGATGTATACTTACTTTGACTGCAGGACATTGTTGTAATGATCTATAGAATATACCTTTACTTCTTTCTATTTGATTCATTTTCACCTAAAGTTATAAAAATACATTTAAGGTTGCAGAATGGACAGATTTATAATGCATAATATTTCAAAATATCTATACAGTGAATTTACAATGTTAACAACAATTGGTGAAAAGGGAGATACAAATAAGAAGAAAGCATATTAATACAATTCTTGACATTTTAAAGATCATCCCCCTTTAATTGTATTTTTTCAAATAATCTGCTTTAATTAGCACCTTTCCATGCTGGCATAGTAATATTGTAAACCTTTTACTTTAGGAGATCCTTTAAGAAAATTGGGCTTTCAAATTGAATCTTTGATTGACAACAATAGTGTTACATATGAAGTAAGATTTGAACGACATATAGAAGCGAGGAGCACATATAACAAAACACAAGAAAATATTATGGAATATAACACACTTCTTTAATAAGTTAATGTGTTATATTCCATAATATTGTCTTGTGTTTTGTTATATATAAAGTAAATAGATAGCAATTGAAAATTTTTATAGGGCATTGTAATATTACAATGAAATTTAATGGACTGAATGCTCAATGACAAAAATTTACATTTTGTTGCAGAATATAATACTATGGTTGCTATAGGAACATGACACGAAATTGGTATTGTCATTTACCTCAAAATGTATATAAAGTCTCCATATTAAAGGTGTATGTTGACAATATGGTGATTGTAAACCTCTCTCAAATAATGACCTGATACGATTTGATATACCAGTTTCCTTGGAAACCTCAGCTGAAATACAAGAAATTAAATTGGAATTAAAAAATCTCTGATCTTCTGCACTTTTTTTTGAAACGTTATGCAGTTTAGTGATGAAAATTTTGCCAGGAAAACAGAAGAAATTAGCCTAACTCAATTTGTTAAATATATAGAAACACCACAGGTATGATTTCGCGGGACTTTAACCAGTAATTTCCCAACTTACCCGCTTGACTGACTTGTTCATGTCTTTTCATTTCTGACAAAACAGCAAATATCACAGGCGTGGGAGATGTTAGTTCTTTGAGAGAAGCATCAAAATATCGTCTTCTTCTGCAGGATATATTTGACCGTTCCTCCAACTCAACAAAGTCTTTCAAAAATCTCACATTGTTTGGAAACGACTTCAACGCCAACGTTAATGTTCTACGTAGCAATTCCAGGGATAAAGTAGATCTTAACATGTGAAATTTTATTATATTTAACTGAACACAAAACAGATTTTCTTTCAGCACATCACAAAATTGTAAAGCCTCACTTTCACTAAGGGCATTGTCAAAAACAAACATGGCCGACTTTAACCCAGACGTCACATAATCGAAAATTGCTGCACAGTTAACTAGAGTCACTAAAGATAAAGATTTAATTTCATTTTTCTTCAAATATAAATCAGCAAAATAATTGTTTATCATGGATTGAAAATTCCGTTTTATTTTTAAGACTTCAACACTAGAGAGCTGTTTAATGTTAGTCACATCATATGCTATATTTTCTGAGACGCACTTGAGAGAATTTGATATCTTTGTCAGGTTGGATGAAGTTAATTCAGAGGCACTTTGGTTTGTTGATGAAAAATTCAACAAAATTTGACAATACGTTTGACACAGTAGTAAAGACCCGTAGTTCTCTAAATCTGTTGATTCAGAAGATTTTGCAGTCATCATTAACGCCAACTCAGCCGTATGAAGTGCTTCATCATTTTTTCCAAGCATCTGCAAAACTTTCACATATGCATTCCAAATGATTAAGTTATTCCTATTTCTGTCTTCTTTGAGAACGTTTTTCATACTCTTTTTTAGAATTTTTGTTTGACTTTTGGTATCATTTCCATGAGAATGTAAAATTTGTAAATGGATCCATAATAATGTCAAAATGGACAAGGAATATTCATTTGAGAACAAATCAAAAGTAGTTTTTAAAACATTTGAGGTGATTTGCAATAAACTCGGACAGTACTTTCTATTTTGGTCAGGAATGTTTGATTCATCCATTAACACATCCAGTTGATTCAATTCATACAGTCCATATTGACAAAATTCCAGACTTGTATTTAAGAATGGTAAATGAATTCCCAGAAGATCTTTTTGCCACCTGGAAACAAGTCCCATCCCATCAAAAAATGCCAACAAAAGTTGCAGCAGAGCATGTTCATCCTCAATAGTTAACAACACAAAACTGATGTCATCGAATAAAACTAAGCTATCTAAATCTTGACAGTTGTCTTCTGTTTCACCCTTTTCTATATCTGGTCTCCATGGCAACCAATTCTGGGTCTCTCTTAAAGTTTCTATTTTAAACCATGCCTCACATTTCTCTTTTGATTTAATGATAGCCTCTTCTTTCTTATCATCTGTTTCTGAAAAAAACAATTGGCATAGCATGTCATATTGATAAAATAATATCTCTATTTGCACTGTAACTTTGTATGTGTCCACATTAACAAATGAATGTGTCTATCTTTGTGTTATCCTGTCTTCATTAGCCCAAATGGTGCAGAAAAGTAGGACATAAAACTCCATTAATTTCATTTTTTATATCTTCGTGTTGAAATGAGCCACAAGGATGGCCATTTTGAATATATATATGTAGGTAACAGTCCATCTGTTTTTCCTACAAAACTTTGCTGGCATTTCAGAAGGTTCATTCCAAAAGGTGCAAAACTGAGTTACCTTTATTTTCTGAAAGTGGTTGTTTTTGTCGAAGACTACTCCAGTATTTCCAGCCCTTGGCACCCTCTTCTCCAAATCTTGGAACCATACTGTTCCAAAAATCTTCAAAATGTTCAGTAAGAGTTGCAAGATCTAAATTTCTATATTCTTCAGGGCAAAACAGATTGAATTCCATAACAGCTTGAAATGAAGCGACGGCCTTTTCAACATGGCCGCACTGGTTTAAAAAACTGAGGTATTGGTGAAATAATTCTAAAAGAATTATGTATAATATGTTTTTCATAAGAAAGTGATATACAACAAATTAGATATGGCAGCTTTGTCTTGAGCTTTTAAATGAAAGAGGAAAAATTCAACCTATTTTTTTTTTCAAATTTAACAACCATGTGGATTATCTGCTGCTACAGCTTTTTACTTGACAAAAAACATCCAACCATTATTTAAGCACATAAAAATGGTTTTGAAAATATGCGATACAACATTATTCATTTTTTTCTGTTGTATTCTTACAAGCAGTGATGTTTCTATAGGGAGCTAGCCGGGCTTTGGCTCCCTTATTTAATTGTTAATGAATTGCCTGTAAAAATATTTTGCAGCTCCTGCTTGACCCCTTCACCTAATTTTACCTAGATAGTGAAGAAAAAGCACCTACCAATAAAATCTTTAGATCGGTTATGACCATCCCTTACACCTTTCCCTTGTCCAATGGCTTGAAAACATTTACTGTACAAACTAATAACCTCTGACACTTGAAATTTGGAGAGTTCACACTGTTTTCTGAGTAAATATTGTTTCCATACAGCGAAATTGTTTGGGTCACGATTCAATAAGGTTTCCCATTCTTTATCAATTTTTCCTTCCTCCCAAATAGTTTTTCCAATTTCCAACTGAGCAAATTTTAATTTGAGACCTGATGGGTTCATTTCTAAGGCCTTTTCCAAAATGGAGAGTTTCTTTTCAATGACAGCTAACGTAGATGCTGATTCGATTCTATTATTTTCATCAGCGAACAGTTTATCTTGAAAATGGATGAATTCCAACCACAAATCAACGTTCTCAGGTTCAGATTGTAAACGCTTATTATAATATGCCGTTCTCTCAGAATTTTCATCCAAAAGACTGGTGTTTCCTTCCAGAGCTGTCGACTTTCCCACTTCTTGACCTTCCATTTTGTTTTGAAAACTTGACGTTTCAGAGAGATTTTCAGAAATTTCTTGAGAAATGGGCAAATATGAGTGTCCTACATCCTTTTCAAAGTTGTCCTTGCTTAAAACTTTCATTCCACCATTTTTCATTTTCTTTCTTTCAGTTTTCTGATAATATCGTCCGGAATTCAATTTCTCAGACCCCACGCTAGATTTCAAATTTCTAAAACCCTTGTATCCTAAACATTGTCGCCATGACAACCGATAGTTAGATATATTCTGAGGGGGAAGGGACTCATAAGTCCATAGTAATTTGTCTTTCTGTCTGTCCAATCTCCAAGCTCTATGTGACAAAAGTTCAGGAATATCTTCAAGAAATATTTTCCCTGGTAGGACATCACCAATATCTTCTACCTTAGACCTTAAATAAAAAGATTAAAAACAAATTCAGACAAGACGGTATGTCCCATATCAAAACCAATTCCAATTTTTGGATCTCAGATATAATTTGATTTTAACTTACCATTTAAAGATAGCGAAATGGATTTTAGTTTTCTTATGTGTTACTTAGAGGGGATAATTATTTAAATAATCTCTATTTGATGACATCACTAATCGTGAAGGGACTCACGTGATACTTTAAGCATATTTTGGGATAAATGACGACATCAAACACTTACTTCAAGTGGAATTGCGGGAACCACAGACGTCTGATTGAAAATTAGAATGGTGCAAATTGATGCTTTCAGTGTCCCTAAATTTAGAAAATCTCTATATATTCCCTTTAAGTAGAGAGGCATACCTAGGTACCTTTTAAAGTCAGTAGGAAATTCTATACTTGGGGAATGGGACCTCTTTCTCTCTTTCTTTTTCTTCTTGGATTTTGACTTTTTGGCTTTTTTCTTCTTTTTTCTATCTCTATCATCTTCACTGTTATTAGAATGTTGGCTTCTGTCTTCTTCAGTTTTAATTTCTTTCTCTGTTTTTGTATCTTTAGTTTTTGAAAACTTTGTGGATCCATCACTGAAAAATAATTGGGAATAGAAAAGACTCATAGAACTAATTCTAAGGAATTTACATGTTGATTCTTTGAAAGGTGAGCTTAATCTATAACAGTGGCGTCTTGTAAGGGAGCCTAGGCTTAGGGAGGTGGGCAGGGCTTTGGTCCAACCAATTTCAAATTTCCCATCATTGAGTTCTTACACGCCTGGTGCTACTCGGCCTGCCACTTAATGATTTATTAAAACTCCATTTATTGACAGAACCAGTTGGAAAGTGATATCCAAAAGTGACAATGACATTATGACATCTTCATGTTTCAAAAGCTATGGCTAAACCTCATGGATTTGATCTCTTCCCATATTATCCATACCCATTTATAGTTGCGTCAACTGGAACAATAAGGAAAGATGACTTGTTTTATCTTATACCTACTTATTTTCATATTGTTACCATACTTTTCCGAACCTTTTTTCTGTGGAAAAACAGATTGCCTACCTCTTATCCTCTTTATGACTATCATTTACTACTGGTACTAAATTTGTAAAACTTTCATTTGTTAACCAATTTAAGTCTGAAATCACAACAAAAATATTGAATTAATCTGCTAACAGCATTCTTTTTGCCATCTTAAATCAAATGCCATTTTTTTTTACAAGATAGGCTTACTTTCCTTAGCTTAGCCAACAGTAATTAACATTTACATTTCTTTTTTTTCATGCATTTTATGTCAAAAATGTGTATCCTTTTTACCTTCACTTCCAGTTTCTATAGATCCAGACCATTTATCCTTAACATTAAGTGTGGCAGCTGCTGCAGGCAACAGGCATTTCTCTTCAGTCTTCATAATAGGGAATAATGATGTTGGTTTGTCAGTCATTTTAGTGCAGTCTATGTTTTAATAAATAGAAAAATAAGTTGAATAGTTGAAAAAGAGCTTAATAAATGAGGAGTTGTAAGTAAGCCTACTGAAATGTAAGATGGATAGCTGAAAAGGGTGTCTGTGGAAAAAAATATTATTGAACTACCTGGCGAAATTTAAAATCGTAAAAAGGTACATAAGTGAAGTAGCGCCAACTACCTCAATACTGGAATTCAGCCACAAATTGTTAAGTACAAGTTAGTAGGTATATACTGCTTATAAAAGTTCACATGAAGACCGTACAGAAAAAGTAGCTTAGGAGCTAAGTGACGGGTAAAGTAAATGATTTAAATGTGTACGAATAACTGAGGCATCAAATCCACAATCGTTTTATGACATAAAACTATGAAAATGTCATGTATTACAACATAAAACAATCCCTACATTTGTTTTCTTTCTTAAAGTTACTTCGATAAAGCGAAAGTAGCCAAGTAGTTAATGGGAGATAACTTATAAGATAGGAACAATTTTTGCTTCAGTCCACAACAAATTTACTTATTTTCACTATGTGAAACACTGGAGATTTTGAGCAAAGACATGTATTTTTCATTATCCACGGGTTAAAAAATTAGGTTTTTTTTCTGTACAGATATTATTAGTCCCAGTGACAGTGTAACGTTTTTTGCTCCTTAGTTGTCGTCTTGACCATTAATTTGGGTGTACAAATAGGGGGCCATCTGACTCAATGTGTGGACAACTGTCGAGACTGAATTAAAAATTCTGAGCTTATTGAGAGTTTGAGAGACTCCTCCCCAAAAATTAAAAAGAAAATTGAATTTATTCCATGCATTTTGACTCATATTTTGGGGCAAAACGTATAAAAAATCATGTTTTTAAATTTGTTCAAAAATAAGTGGGGGTACAATTGGGGGTGCAAACCATTTTTTAGGGGGTCAAATGCCCATTTTAGTTGCCCTAGGTTACCCATGAGTGTGTACTTCCAATCAGATATTGACAAAAAGTAAATAGACAACCAAAGATTTTTTCCACATAATAATGATAAATATACTGATGAACATAATGAGAATTCTAACAAAATAATGTACAAAAATTTGATTGATCTCAATGATGATATATACAAACAAGTTTAACATACAATAAACAATGAAATTTGATAGCAACAGTTAAAGAGATATATACCAGTTTTGAAATGGAACTATACATCCCATTTTGATTTGGATAATGAGAGTGTCATGGTACAAGGCATTGATCACTCTTGTTTTTTAACATGCACAAAATACAGACTAAGGTTGTGCCCTGCTGGTTAGCAAGCTGATCTACTGCCACTGCATCAGTTCAAATGGACCAGAACTCATCTCATGCTGCTGACTGTTATTTGAAGCATGTGGTTGAGAAATAGGGGTTAAATTGCCAAAATCATTAATTCAGGTATATTATGAACAATGTGAGAAAACTCAAATATAATTTTATTTAATATGTCCAACTTTACAACCTGAAAGTTAGTGATCTTCACAAATTTGAACGGCCCTGCCCATCATGTCCGCTATATAGAGCCAAATCAAAAGCCCTGATTGAAGGTACTACAGAGAAAACCTAAAGACCAAAAATTAACCAGATGAACATTCAAACCCAAAATATTCTTTAAGTTCGAAACCAGTTTGAATCAGCTATGTGGCATTTAAAATTTGGGCTACTGAATTTTACAGCAAAAACTTGATATTCGCTACTTTAAAGATGGGTACCTCAAGATCAAGGAAAAGCTTCAATAAGGACTTCAATAAAATTTGGAATAAAAAATATTCAAAAACTTAAAATGAATCTGATGCTATATCTCTTTAATATATAATAATAATAATAATACATATTAATTTCTGATATGATATCACAATGAGGCTTAAAGAAGACCGATTTTTATATTAAATTATGAAAACATAATTACACTAAACAAAATAAAATGAATCGAGTTTTACGTCTTACTTTAATGCAGCTAATGAAGACAGGTAACACCATGCAATGTGCAATGAGGGAAATTTTGCTACGATAAATTGTAAGGGCATAACATCTAAGAAATATGTTAATATTTAGTTAATTATTAATAATTTAAAATGGCATACTATCAAAACATCATTGCTTGATAAATAACATCGTTGAAACGTTGCAAGTTATTTATTAAAGTAATTGTTATCCATATAATTGTGTCCAGTTATCTAAACATCATTGTTTAAGAATTCAGAAGTCACCATATCGATTACCAGTTAGGAATAAGTTTCAAACACAACTGTAAGTTGACCACTTTCATTATTTGCAACCACACACAACTGGTAATCGATATGGTGTGAGGGCACCTTCAGTCAGAAAAAACTGAATTTAGGAGTGCACATCACTGATTAATTTGGCTATAAATTTACAAATTAAAAAAAAAATCAGATCTTATTCTAAAAATATATATCACTCATTAATTTCAGGTGTAGGTTTGTGATTCACGTCACTTGGTAACAACCACCATATAGACAACAATAGTATAATTTATGTAATTATGTGTCCAGCTGTAAGAGTTGAACTGTACTTCATCAATTGAAGTTATTAAAGACGTGTGTTATACCATAATATATTCCATATATATTATGTTTTCCTTATATGTGCTCTCAACTTCTAAATGTCGTTTAACTCAAGAATATTTTAACATGTCAAGAATATTTTTTCTAAAATCTTTTAATTAAAATCAGACACAACTTTCGTTTCGTTTTTTTTATTAGTTTATAGCCTTTTGTAGTATAGCCTTTTCACAGTAGGGTCTATTATCAGAGTCACATTTAATTGTAGACATATCAAAACATAGACATAAACTTTGAAAAGTGGTATTGATAACAGACATTTAATAGTGAAATATCAGTTTCCTTAAAAATAAAATTCACTGCCTGTTTATTAATATATTTTAATATATATGCTAAAGTAAAGTTATATATTTTTTTATAGTGTGTGTAAAATCACAATGATAAAAGTAACAACCATTAGAAAGCCATTTAAGTTTCAGTACTAGATGACAAGTGAAATGAATTATACTGTTATTAAAATCACTGTTAAGTAGTTTTCTACCATTTTCAAATACATAAACTTTCATTTCTACACAAATGAATTTTGAATGGGGAAAATCAAAGCTGAAAGCATTCAATAGGCTAGAAAAGTTTTGGAAAATCCCTTTAAGTATTAGTGAGTTGAGTTAAGTTACAATATAAATTAGGAGTTATATATAAATGCATCTTCACAATGTCAAGCTATTATGAATTCCTCTTATACCTTGACTGCAATAGTCACCTTTCTTGTAGCACAGAAGTTTGAAAATGAAGCAATTTGATTGGATTGTACGCTAGCGAATACAACCAATTATAGCCCTCGCTAGATAGATTGTAGATATTATGACTTTTAGTTTTCAACCTTTCTGTGGACGACTAAGATTGGCTGTATTCAGTAGCAAACTATCCAACCAAATCGCTGCAATTCAAACTTCAATGATACAAGAAAAGTGGCTATTGCAGTCAAGGTATAAGACACAGTTTGTAATAGCTTGACCATTGTAAAAAGGATATAAATGTTATAATATATTTACAACATATTAGATTACAACATATTTACATTGAATATAAACTTTTTATATAGATATATATACAGTTTTAATTATCATAAGAAATTGCACTTGGTCAAAGATCTCAGAAAGCAACAGGCACCAATATAAGGCAATCCTTGAGAGAGAGGGAGGGGACTTCACTTAGCCAAGTGCAAAGATTGCAAAGCAAAGATTCTGCAAGGGACCTGGCATCCCTTTGAGAATTTTAGAGGGCACTAGTCTAGTCATGGTGGGAGAGGGGTAAAATTTTCTATAGCGGAAAGCCGGAGAATGGATTTTAGAGGTACAGGAATAATAAATTTTGCATTATTTATGGCCCAAGGGGAGTGAGATGGCTATGTCCCAAAAATTCCTGCCTAAATATACCACTGTCATGTGGGCAGTAAGTTTTTTTCAATTGAGATCATCTTTCAAATGTTACATTTGCCAATGTGGATCATCATGTTGAATATTAAATGCCCTGGAGACTCCGAGATCAAATGAGTTTTAAGTTACACAGATTAATTGAATTCACCAGTCGTCAAATTTCGAAAAGAAACTATGTTTTTTTTTTAAAGTTTAACTTTAGCTTCATATTTTGAAGAGCAAGAACCAAATCTTGTCACCCTGTTGTCACACAACAATTTCATCTTCAGATCCCTGTCATGATGAGAAAGCTTCTAATGCTTATACTGAAGAACTTGATATTAAATAAATAGTGTACCATGATGACTGGTTCCATCACCTATATCTGGTAACTCTAAATCATCATGAAGATGGGTTTGACTAAGAGTAGAGTCAATGGCTATATCAGGCATAGCTTCACTTAATACACTTTCACCACTGCCTTCGTTCTGAAAAGAAAAAAATTTTATTGAGAATCTTTCAAAAAATGTCAAGGTTATAAAGCAAGCAAAAATACCTAATATGAACTTATACATTGAATCATTAAATTCTACAAACCAATCAAAAACTCTCTTAAAATTAAACAGTAGTGCTCAGCTATTGGAGGCTGCATAATTTTGTTATACACTCTGGGTTTTACGTATTATATATACATAGCGTTCATTTTATTTTTACTCGGTGTTCAAAGAGTTAAAAGTGGTCTGAAAATACATGATGCACTTGATTGGTGAGCTCTGCACGATTCATGGATACAAATATTGGACATTCAATAAAGCTTCCCAACCTGTTTCAAGTGTGCTGAAAAAATAGTAAGAGCAGACAGAATTCAAAATGGAGGAGATACAAATAGATGGGAAAATTTGGTATGTGATTTTAGGATCCACTTCTGTACCGTTCAAATGAGGGTAGAATTGGAACAGACGGAACCTGTTCAAAACCGACCAATCAAGCACCACCGAGGGTATCAACACTTACCGTATCAAGAGAAGTATAAGAACGACTGCTAGGTGATAATGTGGAGGTGGGACCAGGTTTATGATGAACAAGAGGTGTACGAGGTGAAACAGGTTGTGGGACGACCGTGGAAACCGTTGATGGATAACAATGTTGATGGATATATTGATGTTGTAGTTTTTGTTGGTTATTTTGTGGATAATAATATTGACTATTCTGTAATACTTCTACTGTACTGTCAGGTAGACCGAACTCTCGTACCACACGTAGCTGTATATTATATGTCACCATACGTTTATCAGCACACGGTAAAGAGTAGGCACGTGCCGCCAATTTACTCTTTCGAAATTCCTGTTCTCTATGCATCATTAATATCATAGTACTCCTATCAGGCACTGGAATTAGAATTCAATAATGGATTAAGAAATTTAGGCAATTTTTAAGGCTGCCTCTGATTGACAATTTATGCACATAAATAGGCATGCTAGAATTCCATAGAAGTAGTATGGAATTTGGCATGCTTGGTTAGTTAGTTTGGTTGGTTAGTGGAAGCGCAAGAACCACAGAATGGAAATTTGAATGGTGCAAATTGATGCTATCAGTGTCCCAGATACACATTAAAAAACCTCTTTACAATCCCTTTGTGCTTTCATGGGTCCGCACCTTTAAACCGTTCCACCGAAAAACTCAATAAGATTACAAAGTAAGTTACCTGGTATGGTACCAGCTATAATATCAACTGGTGAAGCTGGTGTTGTAGGATAAGGTAAAGAGAAAGGTCTATCTTCTACCATGTATAAAGTATCAGGTATAGCTGACATATGGATCATTCTAACTCGACCTGTATCAATATCTTGAGCTTGTGATAGTTGTTCTTCTAATATAGCCTGTAAGATAACAAGATGAAGTTGTTATATTCCTAATTTCATGTTCTTACCGTGCAAACTCTTCCTGTTACAGCACTTTTAGTCTCAGACTTTTTCCCCAAACCAAAATATAAGCCATTTCCTCTTGAAATCAGAGTTTTTTATAATTCACGAAACAGAATGTCACTGTAATAATATATTCCAGATTTCAGATAAAAATTGTGCCAATATTTGCTTTTTCATCATTCTACGCTTGTATTTTATGCCAGCAAACACTGCCAATCAGTTGCCTCAACAGACAGGCTGTAAACATTTTGGCATTGAGTTCACAGACTTTCTGTCAAAGCCTCGGATTTGCTGTATTCGTTAGTGTACAATCCAATCAAATCCCTTCGTTTAAAACCTTCCATGATACGGTACAAGCAAGCAATTCTAAGCAAACTAAGTGTTTGATGATGTCATTAATCGCAAAGGCCTTATGTTATACAAACATATTTACAAGCATATTTTGTGATACTAACGTCATCAAACACTTAGTTTAATTGGAATTGCAGGAACCACAGATATCAGAATGAAAATTGGAATGATGCAAATTGGTGCTATTAGTGTCCCCGAAACCTCTTTACAATCCCTTTAATTCAACTTTTTAACAAGAAACAAGTCTTACCTTAGCTTCATCATAATAAGGCGTAAATAACCTTGGACGTACGAATATACCATTGTTTCTACCTCGTACCCAGGCACACATTCTATTAGAGGGTATGTCATCACCTAACATATGAGATGGGGGTGTACTAACTAATCCTCGTTTTATAGCACCATTTAATATATCATTACTATAGGGTATCACATGATCCATTCTAATTAATGGTAATAAATTAGCTAAAATCTCTCGTAATTCCACATCATTCAAGTCTCGTTTTTTTACTCCTTTTTTACTAACACTATGAGCAGTGTGACTAAGTAGATTTGGTTCTGAAATAAAAAAAAATAATTATGGATGATTTAAGTCAGGCCTGTGCAACCTACAGCCCACCAGATGATTTCGTGCGACCCGCGGCGTGATGTAAAAATTTGAGGGAAATGAGGCCCCCGAGCAAATGCTTTGTTTGCTCTTGTCACTGTCGGTGTGGTCCGCTGATTGTAGCTGCCTAATCTGATATCCAAACCCATTATATCCGCACTGTTATATTAAAGTATGACGTCAAAATGAATCTAACCAATCAAATCGTTAACGAGGTCTGACCTCGTGTGAAACAGTGATTTTACATCAAATATGTCTGTTATTTGCAAAACACACTGAAATACGTTATTGAATAAATGACTTGAAAAATTGAAAGTTTCTCATTGTTAATTCCATGATTCATTGATGGTTGGTTACTCGCATGCCCCAAATGGCCTGCCGTTGCAGAAAGGCTGCATAGCCCTGATTTAATTGAATCATTCAATAAAGTATTAAAATGAAAGTATATCATTCTATTATGTCTATAACAATGTATATCCCAAATCTCTCTTCAAGTGGAAAATTTTAGATAGTATAGATTAAACATTAAGTATGTCTGATTTGAGAAGATTGTCATTCATGAAAAAACATCATACTAGGGCTTCTACCAGCATTGCAACTTCAAATCAAAACACTCTAAATAATTGATTAACATTAATCAAATGATGATGGTTCTCTGAAACCATGGATAGGCAATACTAAGCTACACCTTGTGATTTTTTTATGAATTGGTAAATGCCTGCCAGTATCTCAAGATTCCTGATTATAAATATTGATTGGATTGACTTACCTCGTTCTTCAATTCGTTTAATAAGTTGATGTTCACCCCATTTTAATATAGAACTAAGTACATCTAATTCTCCAGCCTAGAAATACAGCAAATTAGAACATCAATAAGCTAGTTAAATTGTATTTTTCCTTTTGTTTCACTAAGATATAATTTATGACAATCAGTCATTATTTCTTACAGTATGAGGTCTGTTTCAGACAATCAGTCATTATTTCTTACAGTGTGAGGTCTGTTTCAGATAATCAGTCATTATTTCTTACAGTATGAGGTCTGTTTCAGATAATCAGTCAAACTATTTCTCACAGTGTGAAGTCTGTTTCAGACAATCACTCATTATTTCTTACAGTATGGGGTCTGTTTCAGACAATCAGTCATTATTTCTTACAGTTTGAGGCTTGTTTCAGATAATCAGTCATTATTTCTTACAGTATGGGGTCTGTTTCAGATAATCAGTCAAACTATTTCTAACAGTGTGAGGCCTGTTTCAGATAATCAGTCATTTTATCTATGTTAGTCTGAAACCTGTTTCAAACAACCAGTCATACTGTTTCTAACAGGTCTGTTTCTAACAGGTCTGTTTCAGACAATCAGTCAAACTATTTCTGTCAGTCTGATGAGGCTTGTTTCAGACAATCAGTCGTAATGCGTCTATCAAACAATCAGTAAAAATATTTTTCTCAGTCCTAAGATGATACTTTTGACTTCTGTTATTGTTTTCAGATGAAAACATAGAAACTATTTAGACACTACATGTTAAGTTCAGTAGGGTCATTAACAAGGCAAACTGTTGACAGGTCAGCTTTGATTTAGTCTTAATATTTACTTTAGAATGAGTAGACAATTGTTCACGTTCCAATAAGCTTTGTTTTTTTACTACTCGTGATAGAGACAGTTACTAAGCTATAGGTCATTACTAGTATCTATTAGAAAAACATTAAAGATAGGTTTCCTTATTTTTTAGTGTCGAATTAAGCAAACTATTTGATTAATTGGTGTTTCTTAAGAATTATCATGTATTCTTAATCATATCATTATGTTCTTATTGCATATATATAATTAACAGTTTTAACCCATCATAAATGTCAAAGTATGTACAGTCTGGATAAATAAAACAGGACTTTTTGACCTTTCTTGATTGGTCACTCATTGGAATTCTGCTGGTTATTCTCTTCTAATTTAGCTAATTATGAATTAATCATGGACATGTGAGAAATACTGGTATTTTTCCAAGTCATTAGAATATGTCACTGTATTTGGTTCAAAATAGGATCCAGATCTGATTGTATAAATTCTTAAAATCACATGGTCATTTCTAGAAGACTCAAATTGAAAAGGTAAATAAGATAGGAGATAAAACACGTAAAAATACTTTAATTTTATAAGATTAGTCATTTCTACCTAAGAAATGACCACGCGATTTTAAGAATTTATACAATCAGATCTGGATCCTATTTTAAATTTGAATAATTATTATCTTGTGTTATATATGGAAAACAAGTCGCAAACAGTGATATATTGGAAGCTGAATATTCCCTGCAATGAGTTTTCCACTTATTTTGGGAAATAAAATAAATAATGGACCAATCCATAAGGTTATACTCACTTGTAAGAAGTCTGAACTAAGAGCTTCAATTAAATAATTTTTGGAGAGTTCGAATAAAACAGGAGAGTGAGCTATTTGTAGATATTCTTCTGTTAAGTAATGTAGTGCTTGTCGATGTACCCACATGGAACCATGAGCCTCGGAACTCCAAGACAATATTGATACTAGATTTTCTGTATTAATACTTTCTACTATCATATCTTCACAGCCTGAAAACAAAATAATAAATAGTTTTATATATGATTGTCCAAGAGTTTAAAAAGTTGCAGAAGTGATGTATCATTCGGCAACTCTCAGAAGTTTCCGTAAGCTGAATCTGACTCTGTAATGAATGGTGAATTGTATGGCGTCTTCTTGGGCGAGACTCTTTACATCCGGTATTTAGCAGTGATTTGTCTAGTTATAGTAATATTGCGACCTAAATATAGTCCTTAAATTTAGATACTTTGGGAGATAATTTTTATGCATTTTATGCTATATTGTGACTATTGGTTACCCAATGATACATTTTATTATCAGTTTGAATATAAATCTTACGAATGTTTTGTTTCATTGACTTTGTTTATAAATACTTGAAGTCATGAATGACCAGCCTCTAATATTTAAATTACCAGGATCAAGTGACAATATTGACATAGTTCCGGTAAAAAGAAAATGGCCACTCATTACCATGATGTGTTGCAGACAGCTAGTGTAACAAAAGGTTCTTGAAAATGTGAGCTCAATGTATGCTTATCCAAGATTCTTTTTACGTCTTTAAGGAGAGTCATCTTTACATTGAATTTTGATAAAAAAAAAAGATCTTGGCATTAAGGTGCCATCAAACCAGACAGCACCTCGAGAAAATAAAAAAATTCAACAATATAACATCAGAGGTTTTGTTGTGTCGTATTGTATATTGTGTGCATAGTTTATATTGTATCTATTTTTTGTAGTGCCGTAGAGTCCACATGCCAAATCTTGGGGAAATCAGATATTTTTCGAATATATGTCTATTCAAACTATAAGACAGATGTCCAAAAATGGAGATGTCAGGAAAATAAATAAATATAAGCTTATAAGCGCAATAAATCTTAGTCAATTATAATTCCAGGGAAAATACAACTTGGACAAAAGCCAAACCATGTGAGAATGACTTTCGAATGGATATCAAAATATGTTGATATTCAAAACACAAAAAGTTTATTTGCTTTGAATAGAGAATGGTAGACTAATTTGACAACTGAAACTATGCCAATATGTTTTACTGCCAATATGGCCTACCATTCATTCTACCTTACAATAGTACTGTGATGTACTACATGAGGTACTTAGCTAGTGTTCTATTAATATTTTGGTTAATTACTGGTACCTGTAGGCTTCTTTTTTGTCATGTACGACTAATGTGTTTAAAGGGACATTCCACTTTTTTTGTAAAAATTTTTCATAATCAAAAGCGTTACAGTAGTTTCCATACAAATGTTTCTAACAGCTTCCAAAAAGCATAACAAACTTAAAAACTTTCAGATGCACTTTTCTCTAAATTTTGGTGTATAGTTTTCATAAATTTGAGCCAAAAATTTTTTCGAGCTACAAAAAAAGGGGAGTGTCCCTTTAATATTAGGCAACAATGCTAATGTGTTTTAATATGTAAGCTTAAATGTAGATTATGAAAACATTATGTAAACAAAATCGGAAATTTATAACATCTTTGTCATATGTCAGCCATTGAGAATGTAAATCGTAATGGCCTTGCATATCTTTTCATTTGCAGGAGAACCAGATTTTCTTGATGAAAAATGCCTTGGAATTGAGTTCTATCACTTGGTATTTAAAGCAAATAATTAAATGACTATATAGACATAGTTCATCTAATGCCTAAATATAACCGGTTTAACTCTAGTTTATTTAAAGAATCGCAATATATACGGTAGTCATTGAAAATATACACCCATCCTAGTGCATTATTTATTGTTTATTTTGGTGCAATGTAACTACTACCTACAACATAGTATTTATAGTTATACAGCGAAGTAGCTACATATTAAAAACAGTAGTAAGATAAGGGTAACCTAACCTAGTAACAATAATATTAACAGAATTAATGTAACTATTGATTATCATGAGAGAAAACATACCTATTGTTATTATGCTGATAACATAATCATCATATAATCAGTTTTATTGATTGCTGTCCACAAGGATTGATTATGTAATATTGTACCAGTATATGTAATGTGTTGTCAATGAATTATATATGTTTACATTTGTTTTGTAATATTTGCCAATTTTCAATGTGCTGTGAAAATCACAGCCAGTCATTTTGGTGGTTCTTTCAGACATGACTGGCAGATATAGACAAATCAACAGCCCTGTTTATTCATTGATGAAAACTGTGATTTTTGAAAATACCTCTGAGTTATTTTTATCCAGAGTTATGCTTGTTATGTTTAAGCTTACAGGTTTATTCGACAAGCTAGAACAAAAACAGAAATTTATCATGTTCATACATTACCTTGAGACAGAACTGGAAAATCCAAAAATTGCCCTATTTGGAAGATTTCCATAGCTTCATCACATAATGTCATATGATATTTACCACTAGCTACCATAGCTTGAATCTCACTTAAACTACACATACTGGAGCTGCCTCGCACAATACAAGATAAATCTACACAATCCTGATAAATAGCAGTTAATAATACCCTAGCATAACGTCTTGATATCACCGTTTCATCTAATATAATCCGAGACGGAGCACGTAATGCACGTTCTGTCAGTTCCTCTCCAGACCGAGCACGTCTTATAATCAAGTTCCTGAAAAATGGTGAACGTGCCGCCAGGATTGCTTTGTGACATGGGATTTCCAGTTTTGTAAGTCGACTGCTACCAGCGTGCATACTTTGAGCAGTATCAACTGTGCCTAAAGGGTCCCCGTGTTCGTTGTCGGACGAAAATACTAACACAGCATCACTAAAATCTCCATTGTCCAGAAGATTTTTCATGTCATGGTTCAAAGGATTTGGAGTACCAAATTCTTCGGCTAGTTTGGACAGAATCTCATTGCTCTCAGTGCTAAGTTCTTGGGTATTTAACTCATCGGTATACAAAAATCTCAAAATGGCAGAAAATAGTTGAACATCCACTCCGTGGGTTTTTAATTTGATTGGTACTCGGCAACCATAATCTGGATACCGAGTCAATATGTTCCTAAAATATGGACTGCGGATAGCCAGTATCGATCTATGGGCAGGAAAACAGGCTCCTTTATAAATGAGATCAACATCGGTACAAAATTTATAGTCATACAAATTGGATAGGTCTTGAGTTAAAGAATTAGCTACAGGTCGAGCTAAGTTAGCAGCTATTGCCAATTCTTTAACAGCTGCTAGAGCTTCGTATTCATGAACCAGTGAACTGATATCCCTGATACCCCAAGTAGATAACAACTCCTTCAGCGACTTTCCATAATCCAAGGATCTACTGTGACGTCTGGCTCGAGTCAACTTTTTCCTCAAAGTTGCAAATTTCGATGCTTTCTTCTTCTTCTCCTTAGCACTCAATTCCGAATCAGACACAACATAAGCATTTGATATTCGAGCAAACGCAGACCTGGAAGCAGCCTGAGCTCTTTCAGGTATAGAAGAGTTGGCACCCATCTTTATATTTCTTCAAATTCAACTGACATTCATGATTTTAGTGAGACCTCTTCCTACATCAACCTGAAAATAGAAGAATACATATAAGCTTATAATATCAAAATACCCATATTCCTTCAGCAACTGTGTACATCATTTATCACATCTAACCATTGCTTTCACAACCTGATATTCTTGTCATTAAATTTGATTGGTGGACACATGATTTCCAGGAGCAATTTACTCTCTGATAGTTGAGTCTCAAAGTTCAAGGCTGAAATAAAGTCAAATGGCCAATTGAAAATTTCCAAGCGTTAAGCTTATTGACAATCAGTCAATATAATTGGTGAAATTTGTTTTTAATTAATCAGGACATATATATATATATATCAGTGTCTTTCTATAAAATTTCACATCAATAGCAAAGCGATAAGGGGGTTGATGCGATTGTGCAATGGTGCCCAATGATTCTATGGATAATAAATATCGCCTATTTTTTCCAAATTCATTAAGTTCAATCAAAAAAAATTTAAAAAAAACTTGTCTGACCGACTGAAATAAGCTTACAGTTTGAAAACCAGAATATTTGGAGACAACAAGCAAAACTATGCCAGCAGTGGCATCAAACACTTTTCTTGCTCTTTATATAACTGACCAACTCAATTTCCATTGAAACAAACTGAACAAGGGTTTAAAACCACATGCAGACAACCAACCACATAGATAACAATTAACAAATATGGTTGATCAACTGTTGAGATATCAAGGGTTAAACTGTTATTATTAGAATATATGTGTGAAATTTAACACTTTTTATAACTTTCTCTCATATCCTGAACACTTTTATTTTACAAGGTTTACTGAAATAAAGGGAAAGGTTCGCTATCCATTTGATCAATCGAACCTTAGATGCAGAAACAAGTTTTTATTTAGCTAAGCTAATCAGTAATAGTATTTACAGCCAACTGTTGAATTTTGAGCCTTCAAATCCATGTGTATCCAGAATTATCCACATTTTGAAGTTAAAAAAAGTCGTCTTTTTTTGTGACACTGCAATTTGAAACAGACATCTATAGAAATAGGAAAAGAAATTCATAGTTTGAGGTATTTTTAAAGGAATTATGCGATTTCATACATTTCTAGTACTTCTGAAGACTACATATATAAATTCAAGACTCAAATCAACCCCTGTAAATGGCATACCCATCCCTTTAATGAAAGTAGTACTGTTTTATCTTTTCACATAATATCTCTCAACAGTGAAGTGTTTTTTACTGTAAACATAATCTTAGCATACATTTTCATTTAATAGTAGTGTAAGATGATAAAAATATAAGCTTATTTTATCTTTAATATAAGACACATTTAGATGTAGATACATAATAAAACCATTATATTATGATAAATTGTAACTTACACTTGACATAATTTCTACAGAAATAACAAAGTTATAAACTTGAGAAATTAACATCTACATGTTTACTTGAGATACTATGGTAGTCATACATATTGAGCATAAATGTTTTATGCAGATAGCTTTATTTATCATTCTTTCATCAAATGATATCTAATCTCATTGATTTGTTGAATTTCTGGACATTGCATTTGAGCATTAAAGGGATTGTATTTTAAAGAGGTTTTCTAAAACAAAATTGTATCTGTTCACTCATAGCATTAATTTGCACCATTCCAATTTTCAATCAGACTTCTGTGGTTCCTGCAATTCCACTAAATCTAATTGTCCGATGATCACTAATAGCAAAATATGTATCACATCAGGCCCTTTTCAATTAGTGACATCATCAAACACTAAGTTTTAGTGGAATTGCAGGAACCATCTATAGATGTCTGATTGAAAATTGGAATGGTGCAAATTGTTGCTATCAGTGTCCCTTTCAGCAATAACAATCTCAAATGATCAGTTATATCTGTACACTTTATACCAACAAAACCAAATTTAAGATTCCAAAAGTACTAAAATAACCCATTTTAACATCAGAGTCTAGTAGACAATAAAATGACATTTGCACGTAACTTGTTTTCTTGTTCTTGGTCAAACTAATGATGACAAACCATCTTATGCAGTGTGCAATAAAGGAAATTCTGTCATGAAAGAGACATAAAATTTCTCATTTCAATTTCAATGTCATACAAAGCGATGTGCATTTCTTGTCACAATTTTCATAAGAAAATCCTTTTAAAAAATCCTACTTGGTTTTGACTTTTTTTTTAATTTTGAAATCTTAAACTGCCTAGATAACAAAGAACAAGTTTTTCAATCCTCTAACTGATCTGTAGAAGTGTGCCAAAATAAAGGTGTGATACGAACATCATATCTGTACCTGCTGTCATAATAATAGTCAGCCAAATGCCACAGTATAGTATTGTGATAGTACAGGTATGTAAATTGTAGCTGAAGAGAAGATATATATCACTTCAAGATATTTTCTTATTCTAACACACTTACTAATTCATCATAATTATAAATAGCAGAAGCCTAATCCAACATATTTCTTGTAAATATAATAATGAATAACCTGATTTAATGCCAAATTCTGCACATATTGTTAATTACAAGCAGGTAATATTAGTCTGTACAGTCAGTAGGCCAACTAAATATGCTATACTAATAGCAATATCTTTTCATGAAGAATTCAGAAGATGTTTTCTAGAATTGCATTTAAGTTTACGTTAAGCTCATATCAAGGACAGTTACAGCTACTCTCTATATAGGATTTCTGATCTCATATCAACCGTTTTAATAATTTCAATAATTCTTGGACTTGTTAGAGTGTTGGTTCTTTACAGGATGTCATTAGCATGGGTAGCCATAGGTCAGACAAATGATGGCTGTGGGTTCTAATCATGATCAGTGTGAGAAAATCTGATGGCCTTGATTGAATCATCTGCACTCTTATTCCAGTCGACCCAGTTGTAAAAGGGTCTGGATAATCCTAGAAAGATCAATGCCAAGATATGTGGCCAAGGACAAGCTGGTAGAAAAGGATCCATAATCATGATTCTAAATCTTTCACATAAAACTCAACTAGGTTTGAAAAGTATCTGTTAAAAGTATCCCCAATACAAATGCAAGCAATAATAATTTTTAGAAGTGTGAATGCGGCATACACAAGATTTCACAGTGCAACATAAAGCTTATTGAATTTATATCTGAAGTAATGGTGAGACAATTCACAAAAGCTAACATTATAAGCTTATTTGAAATAGTGAAATAACTGACAAAATTTAATTCAGAATTACCTTTAAAGAATGCAAACCATCATAATATAGAAAACTGATAAAGATCTTAAGAGATATTGATGATATAATGTTATTAATGACAGAAGTTATGGGAGATATGACCAGTGCCCTACTCCTCATATATAAAAGGCCATCTGAATAGATAGGTCACACATGGATTAATATCAGCCTCAAGCTATTTTACATCTCATATTTTTATTTCTTTTCAGTTTTATATGGAATAGTGTGAATTTCATTATAGTTAGTTCACAATCTATATTTTGTTTACAACTTTTATTTAAACTTGGTCAAGGGTAAAGGATTCATGTATACAAAACTAAAGTTTCCGCACCCAAAATATTTTAAATACATTTTTGTTTAATTTACTAAATAAATTGCATTTCATAATTGAAATTTTAAATGAAAGATTAAATGGAAATTTTCAATTTTTTAATGTTTCATCTTGATTTTGGCTATGAATTGTGCTCTGAAATTAGAGAATTTTCTCCTTAAAATCTAATACTTGATAGATTGCATTTCAAAACTTGTAAAAAAAAATTACACAAGACACCAACTTCCATTTCATGAAAATAGTTTCAAGCACTTGGCTATTTATATGAAAAGTAAGCTTACTCCCACACTGTAAACAATTTAAATGAAAATCTGATCTGCCATCTTTGATACCACCACAATAATTTGCCAAACCATAATAAATCCTCCAGATTCGAATCCTTCAAAGATTCATCAGTGTAAGCTCAGTAGCTCATATTATCAAATCTATAGGCAAGTAAAAGTATCAATTAAATATAGTCATCAAAATGTGTTGTAATCTTAAAATCAAACCATGAAGCGATAAGGGTGGTTGAAAGGTAACAAGTTAATATTAAACAGGCATATAGCAAAGGATGTAGGAAGTTACAAAAATTTACATTATATTGGTAATGTCAAGGTCATCGATACCACTTTGAGAAAAAAGATCTTACCAACACATTCTTACATTCTTTTCTTACACAATATCTAATATAAAATTCAACAGAATTCCTAGCATTCATGAAAATATGAATTATGTTATCGTTCCCTTATCATTAGTTAATCATTAGAGCCTACATATACTACTACTATATAAGCTTACTACTGGTAAAATTATTTTTATACATATTTTCTAATGTAATAAGTAAGAACATCACATTAAAGGCTATTTGCTTAAGTTTACTTACCTAAATTTTTTCAACAAATATCAAAGTGAAGAACATTTGTATAATTTATTTGCCATGAACATGACCATGCAGATGTAATAACTTAGGTCTTAATGAATCAAAAAACTTCAAAAAAAAATGCTGAATGCCAGTCTCAGACCAGATAAGGCAGATTCATTCTTAAATGTGAGTGAGCAATATTTGAGAAAGAGCATTTGTGATTCAAAATTATACCTCAAGCATTAAAATAAAAGCTGACTTCAGAATTTAAGAGGATCATCTCTTTAGAGTTTTATCAGTATTTTCCAAAGTTATAACAGTAGGAATCTATGTAAATCTACCTGAAGAAACTCAATGAATGGCTGAAAAGAAACCCAAAACGTCAAACAGGTCAACATAACCTCAACATTTAGACCGAGCATTATTCAATCAACAGCCTAAAGAAACCAATTCTAACGAGAATTTGTAATTGTTCAGTAACTAAATTAATTAGAGATTAGGAATACTTACCAATTAATTAAGTTTTATTGTTGTTTTGAGGTGTAAAACATAAGGATTAATTCTTTCACCGATCTGAAGTTTCTTTTCATCACTGCGGGATGGACATGATATATTTCAGATAAATAAAATGAGATTAAATAAAGTAGGCTTGAAATACTAAAACTACGCAGGTGGAGTTCGTTGTAAATGGAAATTAGCTTTATTTTAACAAGAAATGATTTTACTGATACAAATTGATTCGGCGACTTTGTAATTTTAGCCAATCAGCTTTTCAGTTCTTCTTTTCTCCGAGAATGTAAAGTCACCATTACACGACTTCCGGTATCTGTAAGGAAGAAAGAAAAAAGTTTTTCAAAGATTTATACTTGTTGTAGAATGCCCAGTAAAAAGAAAAAATTTAATTCCAGGTTCCCACCTGTAAGTATCTGTTAAAATTTTAGTATTTTTGAATATTTTTATGCTATAAAAGTTTGGGTGTATCGAATTTGACGATGACATTCCGTTGACCATTAAATCATTCATTCTATTTCTGTTAAGGTTTGGCTCAGGACATTATTTGTCAACAATGAAAATAAAGGAAAGGTGGATTTTCTATGGCTTTTACGATAATTTGAAAGTGCGTTGATTTGGCACATATGTAAATTAGATTTGATAATGTTCTCCTAAACAGCTTGTTGGCTTATGAGCAGAGATATTGATAATCATATGGTACAGCTAGTCAGCTACTGATATTGACAGAGCTTTTGTTCATGTAACAGGTTTCACTGACAGGAAAATTTGGGTGGGTTTTCCTAAGTAGAATCCCAAACCCATCATTGCTTTATTGTCTTCTATGGAGATTAGACCCTTGACATTTCTACACTACCTGTTTATAAAGACCAATTTGATTGTAAAGAAGTTTTCATATATATAATATAAAGTTTTCAAAACTTTCTACGTGTCTCAAGCCTACTTGCACACGGCGACTGTCGACAAACTAAGACCATCGTGACGCGATTATCCAGAACCAGTAATTAGTTGAACTTATATTAAAAAAGAGGCTTGATAATCTTGACCACAATTCTTGCAACTCGTTGGTGTTTTGATAATTGATACCCTATCTATTAATCTCAATTATTCAGTCAATAAAGATGTTTATTTACTAAAGAAAACAGCGTAAAGACTTATACAGTGACGAATTTTCTGTTAAAATTTCTCTCTTTTTACTTCTTATAAAATTCACGGTTAACCAATTATCTCAAATCAGACCCTGTTACCTGTGAAATACTACCCGAAACCGGTTAATTGATTAACCGTTTCAATTAGGTTATTAGGTTAAATTTCTTTTCTTTCCTGATATTTTTTCGTCACTGTTGTAATCTAACAAGGTTTCTTATGCGGTCCTGTTCTAATGTTCTTATTTCTAACTAATCAAAGCGTGTCATGTAAGACCCATTTCTTTACGACAATGACAAAACCAATCGTGGGATATTGAATTCCAAAGAGACTGTCACATATTGTTCTTTTTCAGGTTTCGCTATCCCACAATTCATCATTGTTACCCAGAGAAAGGTTTTCTACAGTCTTTGATTGGTTGAAAAAACTCTGCTTGAAAAATTGTTAGATCACAATTGAGAAGAAAAACATCAGAAAACGAAAACAGTTTTTAAATTAGATTGAGTTCAGATATTTATTGAATATGCAATTGAAGACCATGTCTGTTGCCAAATAGTAAACCTATCACAATCATTATTCCTGGCATTAACATTTATTGGACTATGATATTTTCAGGCTAGAATAAAGAAAATCATGCAAACAGATGAAGATGTAGGGAAGGTTGCTGCTGCTGTACCTGTTATTATTTGTATCCTTTTCAATGACCTGTCATTCAATTTATTCAAACCATTTTCGTTCATGGAAAATTTTTGTGAGGCCAGGTCCATTTGGGGTAAAATAATTAGTTTTGTACTAATTACTGCTTGAATTGCTTTAACTATGGTTCAATCCTGGCATAGGTCGAGGTAATACCTTCGCATTTTTCAACTAGGTTTCTCCTTGTCAGGGATATAGGTAAGAGGGCCTGACATGGAAAAAGTGTCTAGTCGTTTGGATGGGACAATAAACCAAGGCATTGGTGCTACAGACTCTGCACGTCAAAGATCCCTTGACAGTTGGAAATGGAAAAAGAGCATGTACTCTGCATGGATTTGCCCGTCTTCATTAGCCCACATGGTGCAGAAAAGTAGGATGCAAAACTCCATCTATTTCATTTTATTTTGAATTGCCTTAAAATGAGGTGGACTGTTCATTTTTTTTTTTTTGTAATAAGATCAGATGTGCACAAGTATTATGCGTGGCTATAGCAGAGCTTAAAAGCTTATGACTTCATTTGTATGTAACTATAAGCTCATGATTCAAACAAATATTTTTTTTGAACAGCTCCTTAACTGAATATGTAGCTCGAGCATTAGAAATGTTTATTGAATCATTAATATTAAAATCAGGAGAGACAACTATGTCAAGAAATGCAAAAACTTTATCAACATCGCACATGTAAGTACGGGTACAAGCTAAAAACATTTTCTTTTTTTTTAAAAATAGCATAAATTATTTGGACCTTCAAAGGGAAATTCGAAGTGGCATTAAGTTTATGGGACATTTTCACCTGTTATCTACAACACTTTTGTTTGCTGTAGAGGTCAGGATCTGATCTGGGAAATTCAAATTTTTCTACCTAGTTTCTGACACTGAAAGATCATTAGCTTTGAAAGTAATAGAAGTAAAACAGCAACCATCTTAACAATGTCAAGGAATTTCAATCTCTAATCAAATCACTGTATTTTCAAACTTTTGTGATACATGAAAAGTGTCTCATGATGTCAAGGTATTGGACTGAGTGCGTAAAACTTTGACTTTGTGAAGATGTATGGTTAACAGTGTGTCTGAAATTAATAGATAATATATAGATAATGTGGCTTGATAACAATTGACAATAATTAGAACCTAGTTAACAGGCTTATGTCATAGACATAGGAGTGTTAATTGGCACACCTGTTACATATTAACATGTCAACTATACATTGAAGCTGACTATTACAAAATTTCCTTTCATTTGACAGTATAATCTCACTTAATGACACTCAATTTTTTTGTCTTACTACATAGCAGGAATGTAAGACAGTTAGCTAAGATTGATTGAAAATTGTAACAAATTGTGTACAGAAATTCTCATCATCTTTAATGTCTATTGATATGATCTATAATGACATGGTTTGAACCAAACCAAATCACCAAATAGTCCTAAAAAACGTCAACACTCAAAATGTTCAATATGGCCACCATTCAAAATTATATCTTGATTTTGCAATAATAAGTGGATGAAATATTAAAGCCATCAACTGCACTAGGAAATGCTATGATATGGTTGTCTTCTTTAAGTCAATTAGGATTCCAACAGACAGTTCAAGAATGATGTATTATGGGAAGTGACTTCACTTGAAAAATGGCTGCTGTTTGAAACTGAAAGCCTAAGGTCATGTCCATTATTTTGTGTAGTCAAGTGATTCAAAACATAAAAGAAACATCATGTCAATTTTCATCAAAAAGAATTTTTGGTCTTTGTTTTTACAGCAAACAAACAATTGAATCTGAAAAGAAGTTTGACTTTTTACATGATTTAGTTGCTAACATACCAGATCATCAACCAGAAGAAGAGGGAGAGTCCAGTAAACCTGAAAAAGTGAAAGGGAAGGTTGGAAGGTAAAGATAATTTTCCTTTAAACAGCAGATTTCTGTAGGCTGTAGATTCTTTGGCTTGTGTATTTCTCCTTCTGCAAAGATAATCCTAGAGCATACAGTGTACCTTAGACCTTACCCCCGCTGGCGTGGAAAAATTTCCCTCATTGCACACTGCATAAGCCCACATGGTGTAGAAAAGTAGTCGGCCTTGTTCAGGTTAGGTCCGTAGCTATTGGGGAGAAAATGGATTGGCGTCCTGAACAAATTCTGTCAACGGACCAATTCCATTACTGCAATTAACATCACACCATTGCCCTCAGAACAATCAAGTCCAGCCACAACATGAGTTGTGGAGATTGTTTACTGGTACTCTGATTTATTTTATTTTTATTAATTTACAGACCAAGAAAAAATAAAGATGGTGATGAGCCAGCTAGACCAGGAAAAAGAAAAAATAGACAAAAATCATCAGACAGCTCAGAAGGCAATGTAAGAATTTAAATTAATTTTGATAGAAGTCATCAGAGAATGAAATAGATCCATTCTGAATATGAGACATAGATTCGTTAATCAACTCTTCCATTATCTTTAATTAAAAGATATTTGGATAAAGTGAACCATGACCGGATCTGTTTATTGATAAGGGATCATGGTTTAAATGACAGGATTATATTATACCTTAGTGTAATTAAAGAGATTAATTATCCATATGTTTGCCTAAAATGTGACAAGACTTCTATGATCGATCAAAAGAACTGAATGTCAAGTTTTCATACTGGTAAGTAATACTTACTTAGGCTGAGTTCTATGAGCTAGTTTGGCAGCTGGTAATGTTTGCATTAATCAAAGTTAAAGTTTCATCCTTCATAAAATGATCAATGAATTTTAAACTTTATCAATTTATTGTCTTGTAGGAAAATGATAATGATGCTGAACATGATAATTCCTCAACAGAAAGTGATAATGATAATCATGAAGATCATGATGATAATGATTATAATCATGGCAGCAATGGTGATGAAAGAGTCAACAATAGCCATAACCATAATCCTTTTTCTCATGAAAATGTTATGGGAATGCAGCATCCTGGTTATGGTATGGGAATGCCACCTCCGCCAATGGGTGTCCATCCTTACAATTCCAATATGATTCCAACTCCAGGAATGGGTATGCCTGGAATGCCTCCACCAAATTTTAATATGATGCCACACTTGCCACATATGCAAGGATTACCACCTGGAATGCCACCTCCACCATTTCCACCAATGGGTTATCCCCCCTTTGACAGGTAAGCAGAAATGAAATCTAAGAGCCGCTTGATTGGTGAGTTAAGCAAGTTGGAACAGGGTTCAGAATGCATTCCACATGTGCTGAAAAATATGTGCAGAGGGAATTCAAATTGGCGGAGAAAGGAATAGACAAGAAGGGAAAATTTTGAATGCGACATAATCTGGTTCTGTACCATTTGTTTTAGGTCAGAGTTGTAACAAACGGAACTTGTTCAACCAATCAAGTGCTACCTTAGTATTCTGGACTAATTTATGATTGATTCTATACTGGAAGTGGCTGAACATTAACCACCAAAATCTATTTTTAACGAATGTTTTGATCTACCTTGAAGGAAGCATGCTATCTTTTAGGTGAAGTGAACAAAATTGAATGAGCTTACCATTTCCACTAACACCTGATATCTGGCATCCATTCCCATTTTGAAAGGGATTTTTGGTGTCTTCCAGTCATTGGTAAATATTTGTTAGAACTAAAAAAATTAATTCTTTTCTTTTTCAGAATGCCCTATCCCATTCCACATATGTCTCATCCACAATTCACCCAGCATTCTGATCATCACCAAACTTCATCACAATATCAGTCATCATCATCATCATCATTACCAACAACAAAACCATCAGCAACTACTTCATCAGCTTATCATGAATCTTCATCATCAGTTTACCCTGCATCAACAACATCATCATCACAGCAATCCACCTCTCACCAACCCTCCACAACAGATGAAGATGATGATTATGATACATGAGCCCTGTTTTTTTTTGTTTTTTTTTGCGGTTCAGAGATTTTAACATTGATGCAAACAGAGACAAGAACAATATGCAACGAAATATGCAACCAAAAAATTTATAACCTTGTGCTAAAGTGCAGATGCGGTTTTCTGATGCAGAGTATTGTGTAGGGTTAATAAAACGGCCGAACAAGCAAATATGCGAGGTACAAGTCCATACAAGATGCCAATTCAATTTTTTTTTCTCTCTCTACTGCATCTTAACACTTCTTGTGTGGGTCGGTTCTTATGGGTCTTTTAAATTTCTTGTATAATGGTAGCACTAAAATAGGAAGCAAAATTTTCAGATTTCAGACAGATCTTCTCTCCTCTCTGTTAAGAAATCAATCTTTGAGACTTTGCTAATTTGTTTATTAACTTATAACCCTGGTACACCTGACTCATTCTCAAATTAATTCATATGAATATTCATGAGGGGTAGCAATCAAGAGTTGTTTATTTAGAAATCTATTTTAAAATTGTAGTTGTTCAGATTTATATGTTTGGTTTTGTGTTTTTCTGTGGGTTACTACATTCGCCATCTGTGATCTGACAAATTTGTTGTACGTCTCATGTGCTAAGTAATGTGTGCCAACCACATTTTGTGGTATTGTGAGAAGTTCATTATTAAACATTGATTTTTACAGCCCAATTGACACTATTGAGTCAACTTACTTAGAACAGGATATATAGAAGAATTTTGTCAGATCATGTAGCAATAGGAAACATGAAACAAAGCATTTAGATCTACATTTTTATTAGATAGGGTTTTGACAAACACCACCAGGTTTAGAATCTGAGGGATCATTGTTTATGTTGAAGAGATATGGTTGAATTTGTTTTTGTTTAAGTTTTACTGCTATTTGTTTTTTTAAGAACCAAGCGAAAGCAATCAACTAACTCTCATGTATTTTGCTTATATGGCTTTTGTTCTTCTGGTTAAAAAAAATATGTGATTCGATAAGTTTACTTGCCTACCAGATGTTACATATGGAGTGCTAAAAGATCTTTTGACTAAATGTGATTCAGAAATCACTTAAACTTTCTCAACCTAGCTAAAAAAAAAACCAGACTGCTTTAAGGAAGAAACATATGATATCATTAGTATTTGCAAGGGATGTCTACCATATTATATTTAAAAAAAAAAGAGTTAATGGGAATGTATAGAGGTTTTCTAAATTTCTTATGTTTATCGGGTACACTGATAGCATCAATTTGCACCATTCTTACTTACAATCAGACATCTGTGGTTCCTGTAATTCCTCTATAACTAATGCTTTTTATGACGTCACTAGAGGGGAACTGCTTAGATATTAACAGTAGCTTCCCTCTAGTGACGTCATAAAACACGTTAGTTTTAGTGGAATTTCTTACTAAGTGTTTGATGACGTCGCTAATCGCGAAGCATATTTCTTCATCCACCACTTAGTTTTAGTGGAATTGCAGGAACTACAGACGTCTCATTGAAAATTGGAATTGTGCAAATTGATTTTATCAGTGTCTCTGATACACATAAAAAATGTAGAAAATCTCTTTACAATCCCTTTAAGTTTGGAATTCATGTTGAAATTTTATATTTTATATACACTGTTAAAACTTTTGTTTTGTTAAAACATGTTTAATTTGAAGATTGTATGATATTTGTTAAAATCTGATATTTGTATAAATTGTTCACCTGTTATGTCTCTTTCTTTGTTATTTTTTGCGGTATGTGACATCTTAGTTTGAATGGAATTGCAGGAACCACAGATTGGAATGGTGCAAACTGATGTGTCCTCCATACACAATTTAGAAAACCTCTTTACAATCACTTCAAAAATATATAGAGACACAGATAGCATTTTTAATATCAATCCTTTAAAGAAATATCAACTTCAAGTTTCTTGAACTTCCTTGTAAATTTCTAAAAAGGGTAAAGAATAGGCTAATGCGGACTTTTAGCCTAGTTCGAAATCAAATACATTAGCCTACAACAGGAATGAATTGGTGCTGGGGCTCAGATTTTGAACTCCTTCGTTTAAAGAACTCATTTCTGACCATTTTGAGATGCTAAAAACGTATCAAAACCTATATCTTTTTGATTTTGTATTAAGACACTGTAAATGAATCAATCTCTGCCGAACTGAAGAAGGTTTTGCAGGGCTGGCTTATTGAAAACATTTGGACATGTTAGAGTTTATAACTTGCAGTTTTCTGCCTCCTCAAAGACCAAATTATTTTGAAGTCGTTCTAAATGAAGTAAAATGTAAGTTTTGATAGAGGCCTACACTATCTGAAGTGGGCGTGTCCATTTACTGTCAATCAAAGTCATGTGTCAGATGTGAAACCGAAAGTACAAGTAGAGATGTCATTTTCGGGGAAAGGAACGGAACTTATACCCTTCTTGTTCTTTTTACAATAAAGTATTGGCATTAATTTCGATTATCCATATGCATGGGATGAACTGTTGGCCAATGCCTTTTTTTACGGGAAAAACCGATTATAAATCAACCTCAACTCCAGGAAGTGGTAGTTCGAAGTCGAGGTATTCGGCCGTGGAAAATGGAATGTCTAGAGATGACCACCATTATGATCATAGTGATGTGGATGAAAGTGGTGAACCTAAAACTTCATCATCTAATTATGCCTACGAAAATATAGACAGACTGAGTATAGAATTATCTTTGGTATGATATTTTGAAATATTTTCTAAAATTTTAAGGAAAAACGTCAAAAGAGACCTTGGCTTGACCTAGGCCCGACCCTGCTGCATTTGTTAAAAGATTCAAGTTGTTCTTAACTCTGTTGGTACTGTTTTTTTTAATGAAATTGAATTGATTTGAAGTTTTTGATACCTGATGAAAACTTTGGTTATGGATGGCAAGGGGATGTGCTAGGGGCACCAATATATTATAGAAAACAGGTAGGTCTCTACAAAGAGATGAAAATGAAATGATTTTGCCTTTGTCCATCCACTCACATTTCTGGCAGGCTGGCAAAGGTTACGCTACAGTCTTTATTTGATCTTGATAAAACTTGGTGTAGGTACATGTGTATTTATTTTTGTGATCTCAGTCAAGTTTGAATGTGGCAATAATTGGATATCTTGTACAAGTTTTTTGAGTTATTGCCCTTGACTAAGTCAAAAACATCAAATCAAGCTTTTGAATAAAAACACATTTCTAAGAACTGCCAGTTGGCTTATGTCACCTTGCCTTGCAAGTTATCTTTTATTTTTATTTTATATTTTAGCTTAGGTCACCAACATCAGTAATGAAAGAACTTGAGAAAAGATTAGAAATTCAACATATACTAATAGGTAAACTACAAGAAGAACGAAAACAATCCAGACGTTATAAATTTATGCACATGGCCTCCACCCAGACTGATGGTCTTAACAATAAAGAATCTTTTAGTCAAGAAACACAAACTGATGAAGAAGAAAAGAGTTTTGTTACTTTCAGTTCGTTGGAAATGGAAAATTTGAAACTACACGAAGAAAATTTCCGTTTGTCAGATGAGGTTCAAGAATTAAAACGGCAGTTAGCAGCTTTACAAATTCCTTCACAGCATAGCTTGACTATTGTAAGAAAAACAGGTGAGTAGGCCAATGGCGAAGGGCTTTGATGTACATTGTTTTCCTCTACGCACTCACATCAATTGCTCACCCAGAAAAGAAAAACAGTTTTGGACCTACACTTCATTTCTAAGGAATTTCAGATGTCATTTTATACATTTTTGCTGCAAAATATATGTCAATGCACTAAATCAATTCCATTTTTCATCATTTAACCTTGACACTCTTTAGTTGAAAATAAGGAATCAAAAGAATGTGCATTTTTCTGGGATATGACTAATGACTCTGCACTCTAATTCAAACTTGATTTTCGTTTAAGAATAAAAGAACACGTAATAACAAAAGTAATAAAATTTGTTATTCTAGAGTGTCTACGAGGAATTGTGTGTCAATGTTAATCTTAATTTTGTCTTGAAGAGATAAGTGCGCCATATTTTGACCAATCATACCTTAGCCTCAAAAACGGAAATATTTTAGCTAAGCTAATCAGAAATAGTGTTCATAGCTCACCATAGAAATTTGAGCCTTCAAATCTATGTTTGTCCAGAATTATCCCCGTTTGAAAGTTTAAAAGACGAGTTGTCTTTTCTTGAGACACTGTCACATATAGAAAAGGCATATACAGAAAAAGAAATTCGAATATTCAATTTTTGAACATTTCTAGTACTTCTGAAGACTATTAAAATATATATTCAACACTCATATCAATTCCCCAAAATTGCGCATCTGTCCCTTTAATGTTTTGAAATATTATTTTTTTTAAACTTTGGTTTTGCAGTTTGTGTTGATCTATATAGCCCAGGAGGATCAAGTATTATTGAAAGTATTGAAGATAGTTTTAAAAAAGAGTTGCAGACCAAATTACACAGAAAACGCATTGACTTGACCTATAACTTAATACATGCCCATGAACAGAACCAGTTGAGAGAACCATCTATTGTTTTATGTCCTTCCTTCTCCAGACTAGGAACTGATGTTAGATCAGTCTTTTCTGCTATACAGGGTAGGTGTGGATTCACTTTTGGTCTTAAGGTGTGGGCAAACGAGTGGTCTTAGTCAGAGATTTTTGTCTCCAACTCGAATCTTGAGTAAAATCTTGTGTGTGCCCGTGCTTCCACGACAAGATTATGGAGTCACAGACAGGATTTATAATGATACTTGTCTCCGATAGTTTTATCTTCTGCAAGACAGACGGTCATCATCCAATCAGATTCCTTTTTCCTTTCAATTGTAATTATCAACAAGGTCGGAACCGTCTGACTGGAGATTTTTGTCTCCTCGTTTGCTGCCCGTGTTAGTTATTCAAACTCAAGACAAGACTCTAACCTAGACCACTCATGAGCCAGTACCTTTAGAGATAATATAGTTTTGCACTGATATCCTGAAGGTCATGTTTGCAGCTTGACTTTAGTTTGTCAGTCAGACGTGATTGGCAAATAATGAAAACAACTGTTGGGACTGAGGTGGAAAAAGTGTTTATTGTCGCAAAGACATTATAAGATGAACAGTACTATTTTGAGGCTGCTATTCCAATTCTCATTATAATAATTGACAAAATTCAAAAAACCTTTTACATTGCTCAGACAATAAAAGCTTGGATGGGACGAAACAAACAATTTGCTATAGGCAAATGATTTGAAACAAAATAAAAGTAGGCTCTTGATGCCATTTTGGCAAAATCTTCCTCATTGCACACTGCATATAGCAGTTTCACTTCATTGAGATACTATGATAACTTCGATTTCATTTCAATTGCCGAAGGCAGTGCCAAAATAATTCAATTTGCCAAATATGAAATGAGGTGTTGAAAAGTATGCAAGCCTCCATTTTATGTCGTGTCTAATTAGGCATATTTTTCCCAACCTGTTCCTTAGATGTGACACACAGATGGTATGTGGGCACGATAATCACGTCCAATGATCAGATTTGCCTTGCTAGTGCCTCATGAGATGCAAAATTCCATTTCATTTGATTACAGATTGTGGAAGAGGTACAGTATTGGTTGTAATACATTATAAAGATGAACATAGTTTAAACAAAGTTAAAAGTGAACAGATGCTATCTTCAGAATACAGCCATCTATCAGCTATATTAGATATGGCATATTTCAGTAAAAAAGGTTTTTATGACTGTCAATTTAACCGAAACACTTTTGAAGAACTGTCTGCTTTCCTTATCAATTTTGCTGCATAAATTCTCTTTCAAAGTCAAGGTCGTAGCCTTTGATATGCAGAGAAGTCTGAACAAGGTTCTAACATAAGCTAAGGACAGACTGAGTGAATTTCTTAGCTGGTACTTCAGCCTAACTATTTGACGTTGAATTCAATAACTCCCTGAAAATTAAATTACTCCCATGCAAGACACTTAGTCACATGATAAAAATATGGTCCAGAAAAAAGCGAAAAGTGCAGTTGCACTAGGATATCTTTTGGTTTTATGGTGAATGGTTTTCAAGACTCTCATAACATAATTAATTCCTCTTCCTTTTTCTGCACTCCACATTACATCACTGGAGGTCACCATTTAATTTGTCATGTGACGCATAAAAAGTAATATTATATTTACACACAGATATTAATGCATGATTTGCAAATCATGACATTATGATACAAGGCCTATGATATCAGTTTACTGCCTAATTTCCTCTTAATGTTTTGATGAATTTTTCTAATATTTGTAGATAAGAAAATATTATTACTTGCATTTTATTGTAGTTAGACTTATTTATGTCCATGATTATGTGCACGCTTTTCAATTTATTCTGCATTGCAAAATTCGGATAATGTCTGGTATATGTCTGATATATTGTAATGTATTATGATGTATCGAGTCATCTATGTGTGTATGAATATGTATTTTTTTAGATTTAACATGTACACTTGTAAGTTGTTGTACGGTACACTATAAAGTGGTGTTATACAAATTGAAAGTAAACACTTGTAAGTGATGTTATACAACTTAGCAGTGTACGCTTTTAAGCGCTGTGATATACAAATTCAAAGTGAACACTGTAGGTGGTGTTACACAAATTTTAAGTGTACACTTGTAAGTGGTGTTATACAACTAAGCAGTTTAGCTTTTAAGCTGTGTTATACAAATTTAAAGTGTTCTCTTGTAAGTGGTGTTATACAAATTTTAAGTGTACACTTTTAAGTGGTGTTATACAAATTTAACGTGTACATTTATAAGTGGTGTTATACAAATTTTAAGTGCACACTTGTAAGTGGTGTTATACAAATTTAAAGTGTACACTTGTCAGTGGTGTTTTACAAAAGCAGTGTACGCTTATAAGTGGTGTTATACAAATTTATACTGCACACTTATAAAGCGTAACGCAGTCGAGGAACATTTCTATCGACGAACAAGAACATCGAACAAATATATTTGTTTTCCGTTATCCGCAGACGACAAACATAATTCCGCAGACGACGAATATTTAGCTCGAACAATACGCCAGTGTCACGGAAAATCACATGACCTCAAAATGGCGACGTCCAGAAGGTTATGTAAAATTGCTTTAGCTATTTTATTAATTTAAAAAAAGACACCAACGTAGACGGCGAAATAGGAGCATTTAGGTCCGTACCTGGATTCAACGTCGTAAAGAGCAGGGTGTGTTCGACAACCTTGTAAATTTACCGGTTGTTTCCAGGGCTTGTGCTATTTCTTGCATCACAGCGTACTTCTTGTTACTATCTGAATAGTCGGCGAAGAAATCATACACAAACAGGCAGATTGCGACCACATATCTACTAGAATCTGCTCCTTCTCCAGAGCCCAAAGTTTTGTGTTGGTGGATTCACTGGATGTCGCCATTTTGAGTGTCATGTGGTCTGACTTCGATCGCTGATTGGTCTTTCGTCGATAAATGTAATCCGCAGACGGTGAAAAAAATGATCGAAACAAAATTTTTACGATTGTTCGCTTAAAATGTTCCTCGTCTGCGTTGGGCTTAAGCGGTGTTATACAACTTAGCAGTGTACGCTTTTAAACTGTTAACTAGTGTGTTATTTGGTAGCTAAAGTGTGTCTACTGAATGGAATCTTTAGATCTTGGAGTGAAGTAACACACAGAAAATAAATGAAACAAAATAGCTATAGTAATAGAGATATCAAAGATGGTTAATAAATTTATTCCAGTCATTAATACATTATGGTTATACCAAAAAAAAAAAACAAATAAAACATTAATAACAATCCTAGCTTTCAAATATATATATTGTCAAGATGTAACATATACTATGAATGCTGTAAGAGCAATGGCTTTCATTGTCTGTAAGTTTGTAAAGCTTTCGTTAATAAAGTATATATCTTAACCTAGTTTATCCAAAAGATTTCAAATAAATATCTTGTACAATGGGAAAATTTCGTATGTTTTGAATGTAAAAGGACATTGATATTTTAAAACCATTTACTGGTTTTTGAGACAAAATAATACTATCATTAAAGTGATTCCATACATTCCAGAATTGCCAGGAAACTGATAATCGGTCTGGCATTGTCGTTTTAATATAAGAAAACACTAGCAAGGAATTTATTTTTGTAATCTAATATCTAACAAACAATATCACAATATATAACAAGTTATTCTTCTGGTGTTTGAGCAAATTTGAGTTCAGCGTTCCACAGATCTAGCGAGGACTAAGTGCTAACATTCAGACAGAATTAAAATATCCAAAGAGGAAAAAGTTATTTATCATTGCATTAAATAAGCAAGCATCAACTCTTTTACAAAACAATTCTACTACTAACACTCTAAACTTGAACTTCCTTACTTCAGTGATCTAATTAAGCAACCTGATTGGTTAAGTTAGTGACAACAAAGAAAATTGACCAATCAAATACAATGATCTTAAATCTAAAAGCTATGTTTCTGATAACAGTTTCAAAGTATTATTTGCACTTTCTAACTAGCTCTTCTTACATGAAAACCATAATTCTACTGGATTTCTGAACAAATTCAAAACACAATAACAATACTGGCAGTACCCTGTTCAATTTCTTATAGAACTCTTTGGCTAGAAGTAACAAATGATAGAAAAGAAAAACAAAATCACGAAAAAAAAATTGCTACAGATGTATGCAACAAAAAAAGTCAAACCAAAATACAGCAAAATCTTCATTGGTTACAAACAATGAACCACTATCAAATTTGTAGGTATTTTCAAAATGTCAAACTCAAAAACTCGCTCCTTTTATTCTTGGCATTCAGATTTCAAATTGTGTTGCAGAATTTTACTTTATTTTGGTATCATGTACAATGCAGAAAGGGAGTAATAGTAGTTAACAAAGTAAAAAGATGGTTTAAAGCATAACTATGGATTTCAAAACAAATACACAAGTGAAAAAAACGATAAGTCTTGACACAAAAAAAAAAATTTGTTCACTAAATAACTTTACCTGTATTTACCTATGCTGGTACTAAAATATGTAAAGTAAAGGTCAATTTAGATTTACTTCGCTTACTGATAAATTTATCCAGATTTCTGAATTTGTAGGTAGCATACAATTTTTGATTGACAAGAATTCCCATTGCCCTTTCAAAGGTACTTTTTGTTATATTTTAATCATTCTTTTTATGGTACAGCCCAAATAATGGTAAACTGGATCACTATTGTGTTCGCTTATCAAAGGGTATGGCCTAAACTGTCAAAATATTGATTTTGGGTTTTGGAGTCTGAATCTATTTAGCATTGACAACTAAGAACCTCATTGATGTATGATGTGAATTTCTTCCAATCAATGCCAAGATGACTATAGCTTCAGATGACAATAGCTCCAGATGACAATAGCTCCAGACGACAATAGCTCCAGATGACTATAGCTCCAGATGACAATATTCAAGATGACAATAGCTCCAGATGACTATAGCTCCAGACGACTATAGCTCCAGACGACTATAGCTCCAGACGACAATAGCTCCAGATGACTAGAGCTCCAGACGACAATAGCTCCAGACGACTATAGCTCCAGATGACTATAGCTCCAGACGCCAATAGCTCCAGACGCCAATAGCTCCAGATGACTTTAGCTCCAGACGACTATAGCTCCAGATGACTATAGCTCCAGAGGACAATAGCTCCAGAAGACAATAGCACAAGAGTACTACAGCTCCAGATGACTATAGCTCCAGATGACTATAGCTCCAGACGACTAAAGCTCCAGACGACAATAGCTCCAGACGACAATAGCTCCAGACGACTATAGCTCCAGACGACTATAGCTCCAGACGACTATAGCTCCAGAGGACAATAGCGCAAGATGACTATAGCTCCAGATGACAATAGCTCCAGATGACAATAGCTCCAGATGACAATAGCTCCAGATGACTATAACTCCAGGTGACAACAGCTCCAGATGACTATAGCTCCAGATGACAATAGCTCCAGGTGACTATAGCTCCAGATGACAATAGCCCAAGATGACAATAGCCCCAGACGACTATAGCTCCAGTTTCAACCCGTTCTTCAGTGTGAAGCTATAGATGGAATGGCAGACATGTTTAAAATAAAGGCAAACTTGTCATGATAAATTTCGATGTCATTAATCAATGGTAAATATTTCATCAAAAAAAAAACCTGACGATAAAGCATTTAGTCATAATTATCACATAATAGAAAACAGTTCTACTTAAAAGTCAATTTTCACAGTTAGAAGTTTTTGGTTAATGGCTTTGTCCCAATAACCTTTGTCAATAAATTAAATAACAACCCCGTTACATGTAATACCATAACATAAAAGACTAGGAAATTAAATAATGGGGCACGAAATTTGATCACATTACAAAAAACTTTGTTACAAAACCTAGACAAGCATACATTTAAGGTATTAAAGAGACCCTACTATATTTGTACCATAATTCAGATATAAGTATGTTGGCTTAAATGGAGAAATAATATTAAAGCATATTTACAATATCTTACAAAGGATTTTGCAATACATGTGGTTACAATTAAGAAATATTTTGACTTCGGCGAAAATCAAGACATTTCAAAATTCAGCCAATATTGAAGAGTGTATATTTTCATAAATTCAAAAATCAGTATTTAATATTTTATTTTTTTTCACATGATTTTAAAAAATGCATGAAATTCTGTGATAATCTTTCTACAGATCCTGTCTACTAGCTGGTCTTTAGTCAAAGAGTTATTTCCAGGAATAATCAAAGAATTTCATTAACAAGCTATTGTCATAAAAAAAATCAATAATAAGTTCTATAACTTTCCTCTATAAAATGTGAAAAATTTGTAAGTTTTACTAAGAAAAATTAGTCTAATTTCACTACGCGTTTATTAATCATCACAAAATGTAAGAAAAGAGTCCCAACTAATGCATATACCGATCACAATAAGCAGTAAATAAAAACCTGTTTTAAGAGTAGAAAAACTTAATATCACAATGAGGATTATTAAACTATTTAAGGGTTAGGTACAGAGTTGCTATTGTCGGCATGCTCATGGGGTGCTGGTAGTTTAACAGTGGTTGGTTCCACTCCCCATATATCTCTGGCATACTCTCCGATAGTTCTGTCACTAGAAAATTTACCTGAGGCGGCAATATTATACAGACATTTCTTAGCCCATGCCAGTTGATCCTGAAAATGGAATCAAAGTGTTGACATTTAGAAAATTGTTCCATAGTTTCCGTAAAGTCAAAGCCCTGTATTCTCGAAACAATCTTATTACTAGGGTGTTCTCAAGTTCTTTACCTGTAACACCCTTTTATGATATCTTGTGCTCAGATCGTTTCAGAAATATGTGCCTAGTGTCTGAGAAATTTGAGCATAACTTGTGTAGCAAGCAATTTTACAATTCTTATGATAGTGAAGGTCAAATTTTCAACATAGCCACACCCCTTACATTATTGAAATAACAAACAATACTCTTTTACTAGAGATTAAGCCTGCATGCCTGTGCCTGTGCTTTCGTAACATTACTTAACCCCAATGTTACAACCTAAAATTCCTAACTTACCTTAAAGAGATCACTGACTTTATCTTGACATTCAATATAAGCTTCATAATCAGCTAGTAATCTGAATCTATAATGATATAATGATATAATGATAGAATATTACTGAAGTAGGCTGTGAAGGGTAACAAATCATAAGATGAATTTACTATTCTCTGTGTGTACAACATTCTGATAGCTTGATGGTTTCTGGGGTATGGTAAATCTTTTTTTGATTTTTGGATATATGTCAACTATTAAAAGGGACATGTGTGCCATTCTGTTTGATCAATCATACTTTTGGTCTCAGAAACAAAATTTGTGTTAGCTAAGCCAATCAGTAATAGTGTTTACAGCTCATCGTCGCAATTTGAGCCTTCAAATCCATGTGTCTAGGATTATCCGCAATTTAATGTTAAAACGACAACTGGTCAATTAAAGATACTCTGTGATAGATAGATAAGAGATAAGATATATAGTGAGTAATTTTCCTAGTTTGAAATATTTTTGACTATTTATATATAAGCTTATATTATAGACTCAAATCAACCCTCCAAAAATGGCGCAACTGTCCCTTTAAAACTACTTAATGACTAAAACTTGACCTTAACAGAAGCCATAATTCAGCAATTCTCAGCATCTTTGTTAAAGCTTATTCTGTGGAAGAATGGAAGACTTGGTTGTGTATTCGAGGCAAACCTCTTTTGTTCCATCCTTTAACTATAAATTGTCGATTGACAATTGAAACAAATTGAAGACAATACCTACCTATCTGTATGAATGAGATTATTAAAGATATCTTTAAAGAGATCAGGGTTTTCAGGAGAGAAATATCCAGTATTAACTTGATCCATAACTTGTCTTAAATCAGCATTCTTTTCATAGTATGATCGTGGATTATAACTGAAAAATCAATGGTCAAAATTGTTCAAGTTCAGCTAGCCTTTGTCATAGGCAGGGTCGGATCGTCCAAATATTTTATAATATAAGACAAGGAACTTGTTTCAGGAAAACTTAAAGTTACAATCCAAATTTTAGACAAATACAGACAGTAATCTGATTGGTTTATAAAACTGAATTTAAAGTTAATATTCCTTTTAGATCAACATATTTAATTTAACAATGAAAATTTATCTTGATTGAGATAATTTGACACTTGTATCGTGATACACATTGAATCTTGACACTTGTATCGTGATAACATCACATCTTGACACTTGAATCATGATAGGTATTGTAACTTGACACTTGTATGGCGATACACATAGTAACTTGACACTTGTATTGCAATACACATCGTATTTTGACACTTGTATTGCGATACACATTGTATCTTGACTCTTGTATTGCTATACACATCATATCTTAACACTTGTATTTCTATATACATCGTATCTTGACACTTTAATCGTGATACACAATGTATCGACATTATCCAGCACTAATACTGACCCTCGTTTGTTCAGTTCCTCTACTCCTTCTACAGTCATACCAAATATAAATATATTGTCATCACCCATTTCTTCTTTCATTTCAACATTAGCACCATCTAATGTACCAATAGTTAATGCTCCATTTAACTGAAATACCACACCAATGGTTATAAAATGAAAATTAAATGGAGGTTGAAGTCCTAATATTTTTGGACCTTATTGGCTAACAAAGACAGACAGTTTTATGCACTGTGCAATGAGGGAAATTTTGCCAGGACAGCAGCATTAGCCTTCTCATATTTAATTCCAAATGTCGAGCGATCTTTAAAGGCAGTCTGTAGCACACAGAGCCTTCACAATGTCAGCGATTCCAAACTGCATCACTGAAACAGGGAAACCAGGTTGAAAAATCCAAATGCACTATCTTCACCTATGAATGGATTAAATACTGGATCTTCAGGTTAGCGTGCAAGCCTCTAACTCACTGAGTCACCGGAGCTCCCCCTCCATCGTGTAGAAGCAGTTACAATATCATTAGTTAAACACATAGACATTTATGTCCAGCAGTCAGACAAGGCTGGATAATCACTATCCCTGTTCAACTCACCATAAATTTCATGTTACCAGTACCAGAAGCTTCAGTACCAGCCATTGAAATTTGTTCACTCAAGTCAGCTGCTGGGATGATCTTTTCAGCTAGTGACACTCTATAGTTCTCAAGATACACCACTTTCAGTCTGTCCCCCACAATAGGATCATTATTTACCACTCTAGCTACATTATTAATCAACTTAATGATCAATTTAGCCATATGGTATCCTGGGGCAGCCTGAAAATAGTTCACACATAAATTACATTGGTTACCAGTTCCCGTTCATTTCTTACACAGCACGTGTGGCCTTAGTTTATAATCCCATCTGAATGACTAGACCTATTTTCTATGTCAGCCATCCGACCTTTATCACTGACAGGGGGAGACACTCTGATTAACCATTCTTTTGAAGGTCAACTCTACGTCAAATTCCTTGATCGATGATGTAAAAAAAGAAACAAACCTTTCCACCAATCATAACAGTTCTTGGTACGACTTTGGCAGACGGATCTTTCTTGATACGATTATACAAGTGAATGATGTGGAAACAATTCAACAGTTGACGTTTGTATTCATGAATTCTTTTAACTTGCATATCAAACATGGAAGCTGGGTTGACTGTAACATTGTACTTCTGTTGAATATGGGCAGCTAGTTTCATTTTATTTTCCTACAAAACAAAAATTGTCGTTGAAATCAACTGAATCAGAATCTATTCATTAGGCTGATCTGTAAATGAATGGGAGTTAACCTCCTAATTGGCCGATGAAGACTTGCAAAGATATGCAGTCTACAATGAGGGAAGGTTTTTTCAAGGTTTCAACTATTATAGAATGGTTGATATGAACAGTCTGTAGCATAATGCTTTGGTTAATAGCTCCATCTCAACAATATGACATTTTTTCACATGAAATATAAATATCTTACCTGTTTAACTTTCATGATCTGTCGAAGAAGATTTTCCTCATCAGCAAATGGTTCTAACTGTCTCAATTCAGATAGGTTGGTTACCCAGGTTTCTCCAATTTTCTGAAAAATATAACAACAATTTATTACATACACAATAAATCAGGATGAAATTAAACTGCAGCAACTTCTGCTTATGATACAAATTTTGGTTTTATAAATTGTAAACAAACTCAAAGCCATACAGTTAGTTTTCTAAAACATGAGAGGCTTCTACCATTTTAAAATAGAATGAAGTGAAACAAGCATTCTACTTTTCTGAACCTCATTACATCAAAGATGATCAACACATCTGATTGTGAAATAGGGGAATTTTTGCTAAGACAGTGTACCCAAGAGTGTCCATGTGTCTAGGGATCCTTAATGCGCACAACTTTAAGCTTTGATTTATTGTCAAAATCTTAAAGGAATACTAGGTCTTAGAATGAACATAAAATTTAAAAATTTTAAAACTTGGCCATTGTGCATAAGCTTATATATTTATCAGTAGATAATAAATAACATAACAGGATCCTTATATAATCCAATAAATCCAAAAAACTTAAGTAATTATCCATAAAAATGTAATAAACTATTGAAAAATACGTAATATTAAGATTAAGCGTTTTTCAATAATTACTTAGTTTTATCAATTTTCCAGATTTTACAGGGAATCTGTTGTAACTTTATGACACCAGGTAAGTTCACTGATGAATATATACTCATATTGACCACTCTTGAGACATAGTATCACTTTAAAGACTTGGCCCTTATAATTTAGCTGGCTTAACCAACACGGCTTCAATACATTGAACATACCTCAGCAATAACATCAGATAAACCAGGATTACATAATAACAACCATCTTCTAGGTGTTATACCATTGGTTTTATTCTGGAAGCGTTCAGGAAATACATCGTAGAAATCCTTAAATCTGAAACACATCAATTACGTTATTAACAGGAGATGACTAAGGGAGCTGGACTAGCAGACACTGAGACAAGAGTAAATCTCAATTTCCTTTATCAATATTTATTACCAGTACTTTTCAATATTTTTTGCAATTCAAGAAATTAATAATGCACAAATTTAAATTGTCATTTATTCTGTAATGGTATTGATTCAGTTCATTTTTGTTGAATTGTTGGAGAACAATACATCAGATTGTTATATTGAAAAGAGTTACGGATAGCTCAAATTGAGCTCTATCAACTGGTGGAGCAAATATTCATAGTATTTCTATATATACAATGATTTCAGACATATTAATGAAAAAAACAGTACATAAAACTCCATTTTATTTTATTTCAAATAAGGTAACAACAGACTTACGTGTCAGCCTTGATGATTTCTGAATGAATGGCAGCTACTCCATTGATAGCATGTGCTCCAATAATAGAAAGATAAGCCATGTTAATCCTCTTCTCTCCACCTTCCTCTACTACTGACATTCTTCTTAATCTATCATTATCACCTGGGTACTTCTCTCGGATTAACTATACAATTACAAAATAATGACAGATTAGTTCTCTAGGGTTGTATTCGCATAGCTACATTCTTGATAACATAAGAACAGTCTTCTTAAAGTGATTGTAAAGAAGTTTTCTAAATTTTTTATGTGTATCGGGGACACTGATAGCATCAATTTGAACTATTCCTATTTTTAATCAGATGCATGTTCTTCTTGCGTTCCCAATAAAGCTACATGTTTGATGACGTCATTAATTGAAAAGGTCGTATGTGATAAAGCAAATTTCTCCATTAGTGACGTCATCAAACACTTAAATTTTGTGGAATTGCAGGAACCACAGACATCTGACTGCAGAATCTGACTGAAAATTGGAATGGTGCAAATTGATGCTATCAGTGTCCTCTATACACATACAAAATTTAGAAAACCTCTTTACAATCCCTTTAAGGGTTGGGTTAAAAACTCTCAAGAACATTCAAGAACAAATAAAAAATGGCAATATTATCAGCAGAGTTACAGATAGCTGAAGTTGACCTGTCTACTGATGATGTTGAAAGGGTTAACTATGTACATTTAATCAAATAAACTTACATTCATAAAGCGCTGATTAATTTCATAAATAATTTGAAGATGACGTGGCAGGACACGTTCTAATAATGAACATGGCCATCTCTCTAAAGCTTCTGGTAATACTGTATGGTTGGTGTAAGCACAGGTTGCTATGGTTACTTCCCAGGCCTGTCAAATTAAAAACAAATGTCATGTCTTGGAAAACATATTGACACTCTGCAATGGGTTTGTCATCAAAACCTTCCATCAAGAAAGTACCCTACACATAGATTATGCTACTTTATGAAAATTTCTTAAGGTGTTGGCACATGAGTTGTCTTGGTCGAAGATTTTTGTCGCCGATTAGAGTCTTGAGTAAAATCTTGCGTGTGCCCATGCTTCCACAACAAGATTATAGCATCCCTGCCAGGATTATAATATCAAACCAGTTTGATAATCACCTCGGATAGTTTTATCTTCTGCTTGATAGAACATCATCATCCAATAAGATTTATTTTCCTTTCAATTGCATACGATTTTCTTCACTTAAAGTGCAAGTAGTTGTACAAATATTTGAGAAACAAGGACCAGGTTACTCTTCGCCATTTGTTTAGAACATAATGCATGTACATGACTACAAATGCAAATGTTTTGACAAATCTTTATCATGAACAAATCTTCACTAGTCAAAGTAACAAAAATAATTACCTTATCCCAAGACATATTCTCAATATCAACAAATATTCTCATCAACTCTGGTATAGCTAACGATGGATGAGTATCATTTAATTGTATAGCCACCTAGTACAAAAACACAAACATTATTAAATGATGTTATAAATATTTCCAATTATTTTTATCAAAAGTTCTATAGTTGATAAACTAGTCTAATATAAACTCCCAGCATTGGAGAGGGAAGAAATTTGATTGGCTGGCAGTTTCATCAAACAAATGAATATTCACAAGGTCTGTCATTAAGACCCTAACTGAAGTGGCAATATTACAAAATATAGAAAAACGGAATGAAGGTTTGATTTTAATACAACTGGAGGCAGTGACAGGAGTAGAATGTGGAGGTATGAAGACAGATTAAACCAACCTTCTCATGGAAGGTATCAAAAGATGTTCTGACAGATTCACGAGAACCAAACTTAGAAGATTTAAATCTTCGGATGATATCTTGTAGAGTTGCTGCTACCAGGAAATATTCTTGTTTCAATCTTAATTCCTTTCCTTCAAATACCTGAAATTCAAAAATAACTTACTGATTAATGCTGGCACTATTTATCAGGGAATCGATGTATCGCGATACGACAAGCCACCAAACATGTATCGTGTCTTGTATCGATACTTGACGATACCTCTCATTGCTTAAAAAAGTGAGGATTTTTATAAGTTAGCGAATGAAATCACAATTTGTTTTTCACTGACTTGATTGAAATTGTTGGAAACTATTTATAAGACAGTGGACGTTAACCACTCCTATCAACTATATTACCAAACATCACAGTTATAAAGTTATGAATTAATATATATAGAAACTATTTATAAGACAGTGGACAATAACCACTTCTATCAACTACATTACAAAAAATCATAGAACTTTACAAAATTATAAATCAATATATATTGAAACTTTGAAGATAAAATGTTAATTTTTTCCAATTACTTCATATCAAGAAACGTGTCGTATCTTGGCCTTTGTATCGTGATACCTATCGTAGCAGGGTATTATTGGCGATACTCAACACTAATAATGATACCACTTTTATAATGAAATACTTCCTCACTTATGGTTAATATAATTCCACATATGTTCATTAACTGCTTCCAATATATTGCAAAATGGTCATTTTGGATTTCATTTTTCAGTTCAGATAATTAGTAATACTAACTTAGTATATTCAACACATGCTATGCACAGAGTATCATTTTTTAAACTGTTGTCCCTTTAAGATAGGAAAGTTAAAAATGACCAGTCAACAATAATCAATGATAAATTATCAGATAAACTACTGAGTCATAACCTTAGATAAATAATCTAGATATCAATATATACTTACATTATCATTGGGATACAGCACTCTTGATATATTCTCAGCTAAATTACGATCACATACAGCCTGAATATATTCTCCATTGTTAACTGAAATGAAATGAAATGAGTTTTACATCCTACTGTCCCTGATTGGGCTTATGAAGACAGACATTGTCAATGTAGAGTAAGTTGAAGGAAGTTTTGCCAGGAGAGCTAACTCTTTCTTAATTTCTGACTGTTGAAGGATATTTAACATACATGTACAGTATACAGCCTAATGAACATGAGGCCTCAGTCCTGTCTGATCGACTTTTCTTCTCAGCCTCTCCAACCTGCAAGTCTGGCACAGGGAAAAAGGGTTGAAAATTTTGAATGTATAATCTTGACATATGCAAGGACCCTGAACCCTGGACCTTCAGTTCAGCAAGCAACTGCTTACCATAATGATTTTTAGTTTGACATCTGTGGTTCCACAAATTCCAGATTTGTGTATTAATAATGACAATATCATGAACAAATCTGAAGACAAAATTTAAGCTCTACTTTGACATTGCTACGAACACTGAGAGATCAAAAGTGAGGTTTCAAGTATACCCTGTCTGGCTTGTCGTATGGGAAGTATATTAAAGATACTTACAGAATCGAAGATCAAAGTTATTAGGTGCCTTAGCAGACCACAAACGTAGAGTATTTACGGTGTTATTACCATAACCTGGTACAGGACTATCAAAGGGCATAGCATACACAATCTACAAAATAACATAGAAATTATTACTAGAGATGTAGGCTGAATTATATGTATATAGATCAGTTGTCTGAAGTTCGCTTAGCCTGAAACTCTGAGTAACAACATTTTTTTTAGGGTTCTGTTTTTCCATTTCTAATATTTCTAGAAATTGTTACTAAATACATTTAATTCAATTTAAACATTACTTATCAAAATATTCAGCAAAAAACTGAGACGCAAATGCTTTTGCTCAAATAGTAGAAATCCAGACAGGAGCGAAGGATATATAACAGTATATCAGCACTACCTACCTGTGTGTCCACCCATTTCATTCCACTATCAGTTTGTTCAACCCGACCGAAGAAGTTAATGGGCAACATATATTCTGGTCTAGCTTTCTCCCAGGGATTACCATAACGTAACCAATCATCAGGCTCTTCCAACTATAATAATACATTCAAATAATAAGTATCTGGTATATTCAATACACATCCAACTGCAAATGATTCTTTCTAATGAACAATGTTGTTCCGAAGGTCTTTCTTAGATATATATAAGGTTATTAGCTTTGGGTTTGAGTCCATGTCCAAAGAATTATAGGTAGAGCATGCTAAACCTCTAAATCAACCAATGCCACTGTACTACTGGGTATGTCAACCAGGCATTCAGAGAGTCTACATAGCTAATATCATTTTTATTTAATTCCTACTGTCTTGACAAAAGAGTTCTTGAGAGTCAAACAATATAATTATAAATATTTGTAAATCATTTGACAAATTTGAGATTTCCAAAATGGACATGAGTGACTAAGAAAATGGGCTGACCTGCCATCCATTGTCGAGTTTTTGAGAGAAGATACCATAGTCATAACGTATACCATAACCATAGGCAGCTAGACCTAGTGTAGCCATAGAGTCTAGAAAACAAGCAGCTAAACGACCTAAACCACCATTACCTAATCCAGCATCTAATTCAATTTCTTCTAACTCTTCAATATCTAAACCCAACTAGAAAAATACAAACAAATTTAGGTTAGGTTAATTGCATAATAATTTTTTGTACTTTACGGTAATTCAAAATTGAAAAATTATCAATATGTATGTAGTCCATTGTATCTCGAATACTTACTTTGACATGTTCTTTTTAACCCGTATTAAACTAAGCCCACTACACTTAGGTTTGTGGGCATGGAAATGAGATTGGTGCTATTTGAATCTGACCAATCAGATCTGTAGAGTGGAAATGAGGTCAGGTATCAAAATACATCGCTTTGCCGCCATCCAAATATTTAATGACATGCTGCTTTCGTTTTGTTTGCATACGCAATATAGAGCACGGGTCATTTTGATTGGACAGTATTGATCTATGAATACGTAATTTTGTATCACCACTGTCTGGTGGAAATGTGACAAATGGGGGCGTAGTTTGGACACGATGTATGTAGTCATGAATATAACATATTGTGTAATTATTTTTCATGGCCAGAATTTTTTCATTTGGAATACATGTCTATTCTGTTTCAAGAATGACCAAGTAAGAAATCCATTCTAAAGGTAAATGGGGGGAGGTCAATTTCTGGCTTGTTAATATAAACCGATACATGTGTTTAGGCTATTATCAAATGTGCAGTGTTGGGCTAGTTAGTGATATATATATATAGATCTAATTACCTGATACATAGCCTCATCACAGGCGCTCTGCATACCAAGATTCACCATTGTATTAGATAATGTTCTTCCCATATAGAACTCCAATGATAGGTAATACACTCTCTGCAAATGAATGAAAGAATAAATTAGAATATGAATGAATAAAATTATATATTATATATAAATGAATAAATTAATGAATAAAATTAATAGGAATATAAATATATTAATAGAATAAGATTAAATGAATAGAATAAAGGCATTTTACACAGTTAGTATTTTAGTTGACAATAAATATACCCAGGGTTCAATTTTAGAGGTATGCATCATATTTTTGGTAATCATTTTGATTTATAGCAAAAATTAAAATTTATCAAAACAATCTACGTATCAAATAAAATTTAGATATTTTTCAAGAATTTTCTGCCCAATCTAGAAATAAAGGTCAACTCTCCGCAGTCTCTATAACCTTAAGGCAGGCCTGCGCGACCTTTCCGCAACGGTGGGCCATATTTGAGGGATGTGAGTAGGCCGTGGGCCACGCAACTAACTATCAATGAATCATTGCTCGTGGGCTACATTTCCCTCAAATTTTACATGACGCCGTGGCCCGCACGAAATCATCTTGTGGGCCGTAGGTTGCACAGGCCTGCCTTAAGGAACTAACATCATTGGCAAGATAGATCAAGTTTACAACCGGAGCATTTCAAATTGCTATAAAATTTTTATGAATTGTAAATCAAAATTAATCTTGATAAACCAAAACTCTAAATTAGGTGAAATAAATTTCAAATACAATTTTTCAATCTAAATTGAACCCTGAATATAATATATACATATAGAAACATAATGTATTCATAACCACCATACTGAACTGTATAAACATGTCACTACTGCAAAAGCTGTTAATAATATCTATGGGCCTTTGTTAGAGCTACATCATAATAAGCTTACTATTAATTTTAGTGGAAGTCTAAGACCCACAGAGGTCCTCAGTGTCATCAAAACAAAGAAAAAATGTTCAAAAAACCTCTTTATAATTCCCTAAAATTAAATGGCTAATCTTGTTACCGTAATGTTTTAAATGAACCCCAGATGTGCAATTACATAAAGAATGGACTTGACATTTTTTCATTGTTTTACTTCTAAATAAGTGTCAGTAAGTTCATGTGTCTTTTTTGCCTATAGATTCTTGACATAAGTTTTCAATTCTGGAAGGGTTAAGGCTTAAAGGGGCAGATGCCCCATTTTGAGGGATTGATTTGAGTCTTGAATATCTGTAAATATAGTCTTCAGAAGTACTGGTACTAGAAATGTAGGAAAATCAAATAATTCCTTCAAAAAAAATCTTAAACTAGGAATTTCTTTGCTATTTCTATTATGTCTTTTCTATATATCACAGAGTATCTTAAATTAATGAGTGTTCATTTTAACATTTAAACACAGATAATTCTGGACACATATGGATTTGAAGGCTCAAATTTTGATGGTGAGCTGTGAACACTGTTACTGATTAGCTTGGTTAAAAAATTCACATTTCGGAGACTAAAGTATAATTGGTAAAAAAAAATGGTGCATCTGTCCCTTTAACATAGAAGTATTTTAGTCAAATGAAATAAAGGTTTCAATTCTACTTTTGTGCTCCTGTTTTGGCTACTGGTAATGAATATAGACATCTTTGTTGAGTGTACAATAAGGGAAATTTTGCCAGCATGCCAGTAAATCATTAACTGTCGAGAGATGTATAATGTCATTTAAGAGACTAGACATTTCTTCATGTCGGCAGCACAAACTTGCATGACACTGACAGGGAGAAAATAAATTGAAAATTCGGACCATATCAAACCACTAGATCAAACCATCTAAGACCTCTTGGTCTAGGTTAGCAAGCATTTGGGTCTAACAAGCTGAAGTTAATAATAATTTTCTGAAGGTCAGTGAAGGACACGATCATGCATAGACTTTAATAATATCATAGCTTTCATGTGGTCTTCTCGTGTTTTAAAAGCCAAGCTGCAGCGTAATTTAAACCATCAAGCTAATATGTGCATATACAAATTACAGAATATTTTTTTTTTAGAAATATAAGTATTCTGAAGGTCATGGCCTTTATTCATATCGAAACTTTCAATTGATCTTCACATGTTTTAAAAGCTTAAAGGGATTGTACAGAAGTTTACTAGATTTGTTATGTGTATTGGGAACACTGATAGCATCAATTTGCAACATTCCAATTTTCAATCAGACATTTGTGATTCCTGCAATTCCACTATAAGCTAAGCGTTTGAAGACGTCACTAATTGAAAGGGACTTATGTGATAAAGCATATTTGGCGATTAGTGACATTTGATATAAAATGGGAATGGTGCAATTTGATGATTCAGTGTGCATGATACACATAAAAATATTAGAAAACCTCTTTACAATCCCTTTAAGTGTGCATGTATAAAAATTACAGGTTATTTTGTATTTGAATAAAGGCTTATCAAAAATGGAACGTGCATCAAATGTGATCAATTCATGGCCAAAAGATTCAAACACCGACAATAAGATTAGGTAAGAGGATTCTCGAAGGCCATGTGAACCTTGAGTAATAAGCTTACTAAACAGGATCCTTGAAGGCCTACTGAACTTTGAGTAATACAATATCAAAATAGTTTAACAGGATTTCCTTCTTAAAGTAAATATTAAATTTATCTATCAGTTATTGTTTAGATAGGTACGCGACAAATGGCCCAAATAAAAAGGGGGTCAACAAATTTTGAAAATGAAATTCTTAAATCCTACATTTTAATATATCATCAATTTTTAAGTAATAGTTTTCTTTATCTTTATCAATATGACATATTAATATGGTATTAGTCAACACCAAATCCCTTAATCATCAGGACCTCACTTAATGCATAAGCTTATATCATAAATTTTGATGACAAAGCACTTTAACTAAGTACTACAAGTACAGTTCTAATAGATCTAGACCTACACATATTGTTAGTCAATCGCATGTTTCTAATTATAACCCACAAGACCTGTTACATAACTCAAGTTGCTTTGAAATATTGTTAAACTGCCAAAACATTACAATTAACATCATTGTGTAGAGTCTACTGTACAGTGAACTTTAATTATACTATAATAATTCAATTAGTTCACTGTTTGAATCAAGACAAGTTTAAGATTTATTTCATTTGTAAAATCTTTGAAAAAAAGTAAAATAAAGAAACCTATTTCAAAATTGTTCTGTTTCCCCTACAGGTATTGAAATTTCTGATCCCATGAAACATTACAATTTATTCCAAGTAGCATGACAGTCTTGGACATAATAATGACACTCTAGCAAGGAGTCTAGACCAGGCCAGAGTTGCATAGTCAGCCTAGTTAGTACCTGTACTAGTGTTGCCACCAAGTCACTATTCAAGGCAAGCTTCACTCCAATATCTCTTGTATCTAACTGCAATAAACAAGCTAGGTGATTTTGCAAGTCATTTGTCATTCCAAATTAGGAATGGTGAATGACTTGCAAAATTGCATTTGTTGGGATGATCTTCATATGGATTGTCATTGTGAAACTCAAACAAATTCACAAAGCAAGGAAAAGTGCCTTTTTAACACGAATATAAAAAGATGTCATTACCTTAGGATCTATTTCATAATAATATTGTTGTGTTCTGATCCATCTTCCAACCAAATGATCTCTGACAGTGTGTGCCAAAGCAAAATAATAATCTCTCGGAGTGGAGACATTTCTATCCTTCACCAAAGTGTAATGAAGATGGCGATTGAAACTTGTTTTCACATTTCCCACATTTTCTACCGGTGCAATTCCTCTAATACTAATTTGCTTTCGTTTATCATGATCGGATTTAGGTTTAGAAGCCATTTAGACAGGCGCAATACTTGTGTACCTGATAAAATTAACAAAATTATTGATGCACAGGTTCCCGGTTGCGTCTGCTAGAGGTAAAGTCGCCCTACTTCTCAAGGACGAAGCCTCACTGTCATTGACATTGGTTCAACGGTGACCTCCCTTGATACAGTCAAACTTCTCCCAAGGCCAATATTATGCTGCATTCGAATCTGAAATAGTTGTGTTCACAATGAAACTGTAATTAGCTTGTCTATTTTGTAACCATTTTCGTTTTAACTTCATTTTATTCATTTACTGAAAAGTTCGGACAGTTTCGTATATCATCGTCGTCTGGATATGGGTCTTCCTTTGGCTCCGTAAATACGACCCTTTTATCACTATAGGCAAATACGAATGAAGATGCTATTCGAATGAAGCAAATCATTAACCTGACCATTCCGGTCATATTTTGTGCGGGACTATCGACTGTATCTCACTTCCGCCGTTCTTTGACTTTCAAGTTCATAACTCTCTTCACAACCAAACCAATTCTGAAAATGTCAGGAGCATTAATTCGAAGTTTGCGGCTATCGCCAATTTTAAGAACATGTACACAGAAAGCTTCAGAATCTGGCGTGCCAAGATATCCCATAACCTACGCAGTAAGTGTCTTAAAGTGTACTTACTAGATAATTTTAGAGGTCTTTCCTTTCTTGAACACTTGAAGGAAGGAAGGAAGGAAGGAAGGAAAAAAAAGTGAATTTTTTCCGAAGTAGCAGTTGGTATAGCTGTGGCATTGTCTAGACATATTAATTAAGACCTATGGAGAATGACATCTTTCAACTTTAGCACATCTTTACATTTTGTCTTATTAGATAAATTGTAAGAATACGTAAGCTTATTATTGATAGTTCAATCGTAGCCTGGAGATGGCGATATAGTTATGAAGTTCGACAAGATTCGTGTTCTTAGTTATTCTGTTTTGACTTTTATTAGCTTCGGCAGGTCAGGTTTTCAACTTTGGCAGTTTGGCTTTCTTTTGGAAGGCCTAATGGTAGTATTGTGCTCCTCAAAGCAGGATAACTACATAAACAATAAGCTTAGACAACTTGTCTACAAATCATAAGAGAACTCTACATCTCAATAGACAACATGTCTACAAAACAAAAAGCAACTTGTCTACAAAAAAATCAAAAGACATACATGTCTACAAATCAAAAGACAAGTTGTTTACAAATCAATTACTTAATGTAATTATGGCGTTTGGTAGATGTAAGTCATTTTACAATATTTCTTCTCGTACTCAAAAAGTTGGCTGAAAATGACTCATAAGAAATTTTAATATGGTACCTTCTAAAATTGTTTCCGAAATTTGTTAACATTTGTATTGATCCGCATTTCTTTTTTTTTCAGGAGAAAATGGCGTATTTCACAGGAATAACATTCGTTATTAATATACCAGTTATTATATTGATATTGAAAATTAAAGATTGGAGAAAGAATGTAGTAACATCAGACAACAACGTCATTTAGAATAGAGACAATATTAATATTTATCAAGTATAAGACTCCATGTGAATTTTTTATTAAACTGAAGAGAATGTAAAATTATTAAAAGTTTTGGTGGATTGTCTGTCATTATTTTTGTCCAACCATAATTTAAAATTCTCTAGGAGCTCAGAGTTCAAGGGGATTCTTAGGACCCAATTTACATTCATATCATGCTCATGGGGAACAGCAGTGGCACATAAAGCAAAATTATTAGGTAAAAGGTTCAATCCCTGACTAATGAGATGATTCCCTCAGATTTTTCAACCCAATTTTTCCAGGTTGGATGGGCCAACATGGAAAAAGTGTTTTTAGGATGGGACAACAAACCTAGGTGCTATAGACAGTGCATATTAAATACTCCTCATTATTTGGAAATGGTATAGAGTAGACTTCCACTGCGGCAGAGAAGAATTCAACCGAGTCAACACAAAGCCAGTGTGTTATTGCCCCTATCACCCTTTCCCATTTTGCCTCTCTGCTTAATGGTATTACAGGCTGGGTTTCCCTTTGTCAGTGCTATGGTCAAGGATAACACGATAAACAAAGGTCCTGTGAGCATTTCCATGCGTTATATGATCCTGAAGCAGTTTGAAATAATCCTAGGGTAAAGGTTGGGGTTAACCCTAGTTTGCTAAACCAATTAGGGTTAGTTCAGGAGAGGGTTAAAACTTGTTCCAAGATATGGTTTCCGCATATGAGATGAAAGAGCACTTTGTTGCGCATCTTCTCAACACAAAATGGTCCGAAAAAAATAATAACACAGGGCTTTAAATGGGCCCCGAAACAATTCATACCCCAGTGGCCCAAAAGGGTTAAAAGTGGACGATTTGGTTAGGCCTAGGGTTAGGCCATTCTAGGCTTCACAGGCCTCTTTTGTATACTTAAAATGATAGAGCACTTCGTTGCGCATCTTCTCAGCACAAAATGGCCCGGAAAAAATAATAACACAGGGGTTAAATGGGCCCCGGAACATTTCGTGGCCACAAAGGGGTTAAATGTGGGCGATTTGACTAGGCCTAGATTTAGGCCGTTCTAGACTTCACTAGACTTCACGGGCCTCTTTGGTATATCTATCATGATAGAACAGACGGTGTTTGACTTGGCAAAAAAAGAATTTTCAAAAAAGCTTCAACTGGGACTCGAACCCGGGTCCTCAAAGTTGCCAGGCAAGTGCGCAGACCACTGGGCCGCCGAGACTTGGGGTTAGCGAGGGTTAACCCTGGGGTTAACCCTAGTTTTGACAAACCAATTAGGGTTAGCCCAGGAAGGGCTTAAAGCTTATTCCAAGATATGGTTTCCGCATATGAAATGAAAGAGCACTTCGTTGCGCATCTTCTCAACACAACATGGTCCCGAAAAAAGAATAACACGGGGGTTTAAATGGGCCCGAAACAATTTCTACCCCACTGGCACCAAAGGGGTTAATGTGGGCGATTTGACTAGGCCTAGATTTAGGCCGTTCTAGACTTGACTAGACTCACGGGCCTCTTTGGTATATCTATCATGATAGAACAGACGGTGTTTGACTTGGCAAAAAAAAGAATTTTCAAAAAAGCTTCAACTGGGACTCGAACCCGGGTCCTCAAAGTTGCCAGGCAAGTGCGCAGACCACTGGGCCGCCGAGACTTGGGGTTAGCGAGGGTTAACCCTGGGGTTAACCCTAGTTTTGACAAACCAATTAGGGTTAGCTCAGGAAAGGCTTAAAGCTTATTCCAAGATATGGTTTCCGCATATGAAATGAAAGAGCACTTCGTTGCGCATCTTCTCAACACAACATGGTCCCGAAAAAAGAATAACACGGGGGTTTAAATGGGCCCGAAACAATTTATACCCCACTGGCACCAAAGGGGTTAATGTGGGCGATTTGACTAGGCCTAGATTAG